AATATGAGAGAGAAAATATACAATACGAGAGAGAAAATATACAATATGAGAGAGAAAATTTACAATATGATATGGCAAATATGGAATATGAAAAATTCCAGCTGTATTATGAAGAAAGTAAACATTTGAGAAAAGAGTGCATTCACCATAAAAGGGAAAATATACAACATCGATTAGAAAAAATACAATATTTAAGGAGTATACCATGTGAAATGAAAAATATACAATGTGAAAGAAGACATCTACAATATGGCAGGGAGAATATACAATACAAAAAGTATAGAAAACAACACAGAGACAGAAATATACAACACAAAAGGTAATAGCATTTATATTTCAGCACTGATAGAAAAATCGTTTCTATTCTCAAGATGGGTCCAAAAAAATTCATTTTGGTTTAAGTAGGTTTTTGTCACACTTTTTCGTGCGGTATTGTCATCATCTTGTTAATGTCTTTTTTGTCAAATTGGACTGAATTGAGGCTTTGACTGTTGGTATTCTATACCGACTTTGTGTTTGGTTTGGTTTATTTTGAACATGCAAGTCCACACATTGGTCATTTTAAACTTTTTCTGTCACCACCACAAGTGTTGACATATTGTTATTGTTTCCAACTTTTTTGTGGATGGTGTTTGGTATCTGGCAGTTGGTGTTTGGAGTTTGGTGTCTGTAACAAATAGCAGGTGGTGATATTTTGCATGTTATTGCCTTGTTTCTTTGAATTTCAGGTTTACTTACCTCAGATCTTCCATTATTCATTTGTAAACCAGGTGGGAAATTTGAGCAAATACTAAGGTAGAAAGTGAGATTCTTAAAAAAACATGTTGATACATGAGTTTTACCATTTGCTAGTAGAGCAGCTGATATCTTACATCATACATCTATCTTCTTAATTGTTTTGCCTGATGTATCTATGTTGATGTGTTTGCAAAATAGCACATAATCGAGAATCGTTTATGGCGTGAAGAATGCCTGGTCTACCTGTAGATAAGCACATAATGCAGTAATCGGGCAATGTAATGAGAATATATTAAATATTAGGGTTATTTAGGATATTTTCTATGATGTCTATTCCAGTATGGGGGATTTATCTACTTTATTTCTACTTTTAAATTATGAGTTAGCGGCAATAGGGCTGTAGTACATAGAAAGTCAGTACTGTACTGTATGTCTTGAGAAAATTTACTTTGGTCCGATTATTTGGAGCATCCGAATTTCTCTGATTTCTTAAATGAAATGAACAACTTTAACATTTGGAACATTATTTCAGATATGATCGAATTTGACTTGATACGTCAAACCGGCAAAATTGCACATACCCTTCATAGCATGTGGTTTTTTCCATCCTTAGCAGGCTACATATGATATAGTATCTAGGTTATTACATACTGATAAAATGTCAAATTGATATTGATCTACCTTTCACTACTATATTAACATTGACATTGATGATACTAGTATCCTTGGAATAAGGTTTAATACTACTGTTTATAACATACCTATGATGATGTATAGTGCAAAGTGTACACAAGACAGCGGGCCAATATAAGTTTTGAAAAGCCCGCGCCCGCTAACTTTCTGATTGGTCAAGCCGCTGACGTCATAACCAATCAATCGAAGATAAAACTGCGCGAGCAATTTTTCTAAACTCATTTCAATCATTTTCAAACCATTTGTTTGTCAATTCTATAAGAAAACGGTACTCTTTGACATGTCTACATCATCATAGGTATGTTATAAATCGTTTATGTCACTATCGTGGCAGATATGCCCTCGATTCTCAGAGATCAATGTCCCTCCCAAGGTCGGGCCATATATCACTGAGATCTCGGGCATATATGCCACGATAGTGACATAACCTCTAAATATTAGAAGCCAGTTTTGCATATTATATTGCTTTTGTATGTCCAAAATTTCCCATGTCCTAAATGCTAATTAAAAATGCCCTATTTCCAAAGCTCTCTCTCGGGTCTAAGGCCATCACTCCTCCTCTTCATATACAAGGGGCTCCCTTCCCAATCAACCAAGAGAATCCATTGTCTATTTGTCAGTAATGCAGAAAATTAAGCAGAGAAAGAACTTCAGCTTGCATTGTAGTTGCACTTGTTTTTCAGTTTTTTTTATTAAGTATAGAGCTATTGAACTGCAGGATGTAGCACTTGAAGATACGGATATGGTGTGTGATTTAATGCCCATGAAGGAGTTCTACCATATCAGCCATAAATAGGCCATGTAAGGTGAAATGTCATCAAGGAGGGCTGCTAATATAAGGGGAGCAAGCAAATAGGGGTTATGGCTGGAAAAATGTGATTTACACAATTTGACTCTATTTGCCTATTGAAGAACTGTATATTGTAAAATGTAATAGCATTACCCATCTCCAAGTATAATTTTGAATATTGTCAGGCCACTGCTATTTGTAATGTTTACATTTGTTTATGAGAGAAGCACCAAAACTAATATAAGGGAAGGTTCACTGGTGGTAGAAATATTATCAGGAAATTGGCTTTGAGGGTCAAGATGTTTTAGGCATATGTGTTTCTACCTGATATTATTTAATGAATACAGTAATCTACCCACCAAATCAAACTTTATATCTGAAATTCTATTCCCTGATTGGATGATGTAGGTCATGTGACAATGTCTGGGAATTATGGGGAGGTACCTGCTGCAATGATATGGCATGAAATCTGGAGAGGTTGAAGTGTTATTTGAGAGATTGCATTCTTAGAAATAAAACTTCAGACAAACCTCAAGTATAAATGGAAAAAGAGACAAATGATTCTGAAGTTCCTCACAAATATCTACCAAAACATCAAGTTTCTTACATTTACCAGGATAGGGTAGAAAAGTGCCAGGAAGGATTATTTCAACTATAATCTCTTATATGTTTCTCTTTAGAAATCTGAATTGTGAAAATGTGATTATTTTGATGAAATTATTTCGAAAATTTTATGGTACACTTTAGATAACATCATAAAGTGTGTTTTTGGATTATCTGTTACTGATTTCAATTTAGTGCCATCCCTGCTGTTTTAGAATCAATGGAATGATACCCCAGTTATCATTTCATGTCTTAATTGCATGTATTTCACCCTTCTGATGTTATGTTTGTACATGTACTATGTGAACATGTATCATTACAGAATAATATCAAAATAGTTTCACAGTTTATATCCTCAATTGACATTAAAGTCATTTTGATGCCCATGGGCATTTATATCAAGGGAAAACATACCAGGGAGAGAACCTTACTCCTATAACAAGAAAATATGAAAAATGTAAAGTTTCTCATGATAATATAATCTTATCATCTTTCACTTCTGCAAGGTACCCTACTAACCTTCTACTATTTCTTTTTCTGTTTATGAATTTAAAGAAACCGAAAAGGTCATCTTGGAGAAACTAATATACCACAATAAACAATAACAACATTCTTGTTTAACCGCCTCATTTGGTATCTGATACTCAACCCCATCTACTCCCTCTGTAGAGGCGTGGCACTCTTTCTCCTTTCAATGCCATCAGAAGAATTTTTATAGCCACCATTTTGGTGACCACATTTTTGTTGCACTTCTGTAACCTTTTGTAGGTATCATTAATGCCTTGTATTTCGTACATGCAAGTACCTTTGTTTTGCTCTATGAGAATAATCATGACAAGTTGTTTTTTTAAATGCTCAAAATATTCCAAAAAAAGGTGATGAATTTATAATCTCAACCCAGAAGCCTCATCTCACAAAATGAAGCATAAGCATGTAGATTTGAATGCTCCCCTCCCCATTCCACCTTGGTCTTTATAAATCCTCCAGCTACTTGCTTAGGCCTCTTGAACAGTCAGGGACCAGGTGGGTTTCAATTGTACCATTTCCTATAGATGAAACCTAAATAAAACCTATATGTTTTGATAGCTTCTTTTACCAGCCACTAGATAGCTTTATTTACATCAGAGATAGCACATATCTGGAAATATTTCTTTACTTTCTTGGGTTACTGAATATATCAACAGGCTGAAAAGTTGCAGATTGACAATAATTTTGATAAATTCAACCCAGGTTTTAAAGACAATTTGTTGAGAGAAACAACAGCACCTGTATTGGAAGTTTTGAAATAAAAAAAGCATAACATAAACATAACCAGTGTTTTATACTTTCCTTGTATAAATATTATTGCTCAAAATTCTGAATAATAGGAAATTCAGCATCTTTATTATGCCTAAAAAGGTATGATTTTGTTGTCAGCTTGACAGGTTGGCATTTGGACGGTTGCAGTGTCTCACTCTTCCTGTTTGCACATTTCCAGAGAAAATACTCAACAGATTGTTTTGAAATTCACAGGGTTGTAGCTGCTATTGAACTATAGCATTGATTAATTTTTCGTAATTTTTAAATTTGGTTTTCAGTCTAGAAGTGCATACAGTAATTATTTTACAAACTTGTAAACATTAGTTATTTCAAAAGATATTTCTAAAAAAAGCTGACCTTATTTACGTTCTTTTCTGTGAAAGAATTTTGAAAAAGTAGATTTTAATTTTTGTAACTTTCAACAGAGATCATGTTGTTTTTCATTACATGACAGACATTGAATAATGAGCTGTTACTTAAAGTTACATCTGCTCAAAAATAATACTCATTACTAGTAAATATAGTACAATTTCGTTTGTAGAATTTCTCAAGAATTTCATTGAAGTATTTGCTATTCCAAGACCCCAATAGACATCTCCCAAAAATGTTAAATGTGTAATTAGTATATCTTCATACAAAATTGTTTTTAATTGCTTTAGGTTTTCAGCCGTAAATGAATATTGGCCATGAATACTCCTATATAATTTGTCTTTGTATATAAGATTTTCGTTTTGTGAGGCAAATGATTAAAAAAATTGCACGATTATCAATATTGTTAATTTGCGCCTCATGATGTAAGATCTTTGTTTGAGGCACTTCATTATTCAAACATTGAATGGATGTTCAAAATTACAATTTATACATTTTGTATTTTCAGGTCTAGATCACGGGAGCGTTTTAGAGATAGAGACAGGGACCATTTCAGGGATAGGAGAGATGACTATAGAAGGTCAAGGTCGCGTGAGAGGTATAGGCGGAGGTCAAGGTCAAGATCACGAGAGAGGTCACGTGCAAGAGCTGATTCACTGAGAATAGATAAAAAGAGACTGAGAGAAATAGCAATGTAAGTTACAATGATTTATATTTGAGGAATTTGTTTTTTTTCTATTATTATTCAGCACAAAGAATGTACAGATATTATTAAGTTCTTCTATTCCTTGTAGCTTGGACCTGTACTGCAGCTTATTTACTTTCATTATAAAAATGATTTCTCAGGAAGAAAGTTTTCAATAACATGTACTGGTTAAATTACACCACATGTGTTTATGTTACATGCCCATGTGTTATATTACATGGGTAAACGTTACCTGTGTTTACATTACATGTGTTTACATTACATGTGTTTACGTTACATGTGTTTCCGTTACATGTGTTTACATTACATGTGTTATGTTATATTTGTTTATGCAACATGTGTTTTTGTGTTTCAGAGCTAAAGCCTATGCTAACATGAAGGCAGGGGTAGGACCTGCAGTCAATCTGAGGCCAGAAGAAGTGGCTGCTATCAGGTCTGGTGGTAAATCTGTCAACGAACTGACCGGTGGGTTATCAGAAATATTTGAAAGCTATTTGAAAGCTAAGATATTATTAATGTCAAAGAGATGTGTATAATGTGGTTCACAATTAAAGAAATGATTACATTGAAAATTAGCACTGTGTTTATGACCTCAAATGACCTATTTAGGTCTATTATACTTTAATCAAAACTTTGTTTTGTAGACTTTTGTAAGAAGATCTCAGAGAAGCAAGGCCACTATCATTCCTCTGGGGAGGACTCTGACCTCAATAGACCTGTGAATTCAGATGAAGATGAACTGTTCATTAATCATCCATTCAAAATGAGGGATGCTCCTATTACAATGAACATAAGGGTGAGTAGATCATTATACATCATGTCTGCTTTATGTAGAACTGGAAACACTCACTCTCCTATCACCATTTTTCACACTTTTCCCCAGACCTGTTTATTATAATATTTGTTCACATTCTGTTCTTCATTGATTTTAGAATAAATTCAGTCTGGTTAACCAGTTTTTATGTCACCATCACAAGTGGTGATATATTGTTATTGTCTCCAATTTTTTGTGGACAATGCTCGGCAGTTGTTGTTTGGTGGTTGGTGTCTGTAAAAAATTGCAGGTGGTTTTACATGTTAATGCCTTGTTGAGTTTTGTCATTGTTGGTAAAATAACAACTTAGTTATTGACAGAAAAACTTATCGCTGTTGCTCAACTTAACCCTGCAATAAAAAAAATAAATCACCCCCTGATTAATTACCCTTTTAATTGTAGGACTCTAGAGCATTACCCGTAATGAATTCTGTAGAGAAGTCCAAACTGACTGGCCAGCTACGTATTGAATTCCCAGTATCTAGTGGCAACCAGCACAGGGTGAAAGAGAGTGAGATAAGCAGTTCCCAACAGGCTTACGGGGACTGGATGCCTGTGGAGAAAAAGAAAGATGAGGAGAAACCAAAGGTGAAACCTGAAGATAAGGTCTTCCCTGATGCTACTCCATTACCTGTAAGTTGGTTTGATATTAAAGGTTTAGCTAATGCCTCAGTCACATTTGATCTACGGCAAGCATATGGCAGTCGTAGCTTCCGAAAATTAAAAGAAATATGCAGCATAAAATATAGGGATAAGCAGTACCATGAAGATTTTCTATATTGATTTTGTGAAGCTATAGCTGCCATTTGGCCACTGTGGAGCAAATGTGACTGAGGCTTATATTAACTGTAATTATAAAAATTAGGCGTTTAATGTCATCAACAAGTGACACATTGTTATACACACCATTTTAGTGACTGGCATTGGGCAGTCATCATCTATTACAACACTTTTTCATGGCCTTTTTCATTCACTACTTGCAATAACTTGCCAGATGATGACGTTTTATCAATTTTGTTCGTAACTCCTTTCCACATTGCTTCTAACTCCAAATATGTGAATATTGCTTGATACTAAATTAGTGATGATAATAGAAGTCTCAGTCATTTTTACACACTTATTGTTTGTGAAATCAATATGAAAGTTTTGCTTTATAATTGATTGATCCATTAATTGTTGATAGCCTTATATTCATTGTATATTTACATCGAATAACTTCTTTTCAGGCCAATGTGGACATAGGATCTGTTGTATCAGAAAGACTAAAGGCTGTGAGAAAACTACAGGACAATCCTAATGACGTACAAGCCATCAATGAAATGTATAAAGTCAATAAAAAGGTAAGCACACTTGCAAAGTTTGAGATCCCACAGTCACTCCATTAATTCAATCTTCAAGATCAAAATGTTTGCTACTCTTGCTCCTTTTAATGAAGCTATGAAGTTGCAAGTGTGAAACATTTCCTATTCATGTGGAAACTGACACAGTCAAGGAATGAATGTTAGATTAAACGATTACAATAAAAATACTCCATATTTGTTTATTCAGATTCTTCGATATTTATAGCAGTGGCACTCACAGCAGTTTCTATGAACTATTTATTTCCTACCTCTTTTATTTACATATTGGTATTTCTCATCTGTTAATTTTGTCTTGAAACAGTTGAGTAAATGTGTGGCAGAGCTCTAACCTGAAATTGTATGGACCACACTGAAATTGTATGGACCACACTGAAATTGTATGGACCACACTGAAATTGTATGGACCACACTGAAATTGTATGGACCACACTGAAATTGTATGGACCACACTGAAATTGTATGAATCACACTGAAATTGTATGGACCACACTGAATTTTAGATTGTTGAAAATGAGTTGAAAATTGGAAATACAGTCAGCTATTTAAAAGATTACAATTAGTCTGAAGCCATAGACCATTTATTTGTCTCCAAGAGTAAAGAATCTTCCATCTGAGGCTTTCTAAATTGAATTATGGTCCACATCTCACTTTATTTTTCTATACATGCTGAAATTACGTGCAGGTCTGTTGTTAATCCAGTGGGCCCAACAAACCTCATATGTACATAATATGTGTAATGCTTTTAGATGAGCCAGTGGGCAGAGTCCAAGAACCAGCCAGGGGCTTTCACCGGGTCAACAGGGGCCAAAGTCCTGTCTCAATCTGAACTCATGGGGCCAGATAAGAAACGACAGGCTTGGATCAAAAAGGTAAAGAACCGGGTTATGTTTTTGTGTTGTATTTGAAGCAAAATGTTTTGTGCATAACTCTGTTAAATTGTATTCAACAAATTCATCAATGAGGAATAATATGATTTGACTCAAGTTCAAACTTTGGTACACGATTAAAACATTAAAATTGTTCTGTGAAGTTGCATTTACTACATGGAATGATCTTGCCATGGTTGATTAAATCTCAGTTTAAGACCTTAGGGTTTCCAAGTGTGTTAGCCCATGTTGTGGTGATGTTCTCATGAAGTGTCTCGTACAGTAGTCCATGCACAATTCATTTAGCTTCAGAAAGTTCATTTTAACAGGAGAGAGCTAGAGCTGCTGGAAGGAGCATGGAGAACAGACTGCCTGGAGAGAGAGAGAAGCCAGTCACAAGAATGGGACTGATAGTGCTATAGAATGCCTGCTTTAGTATTTAGAACTTGGTAGTTATACTTCACTCTGGTGATATACTACCAATGTCCACTGGGCTTTGTATAGCACTATTAATGTCTTATACTTTAACATTGTATTGTCCTATCTTATGTGCAGGTCTGACATGTCTTTGTATCTGATGCATTGACATGAAAGATGTGTCCATTTAGATAGAAGATGAATACAATACGGGGAATTATCCTCTTATTTTGTCTTGAGATACATACACCGGAGTCAAATAACTTTGAGGTTGTCACAATGTTTATTATCAAGATTGACCTGGTGACTGTATATCAAAATCACAAACTATATCTACTTGACTTGACCTGTATAGTTTATATTTTTTGATAATAGTAGATTTAGTTTGTGATTATAATGACTTGTAATATTCCACGTTTTTCTTTTGGCGTCAGAGATCAGTTAGTTGGCCTCAGAGATCAGTTAGTTGGCCTCAGAGATCAGTTAGTTGGCCTCAGAGATCAGTAAGTTGGCCTCAAGAGATCAGTTAATTGGCCTCAGATGCCAAGAGAATCAAACCTACTAGCTTCCCAGAAACCTTCCTTCTAAAATCCACCTATGTTTAAATAATCAAATATGAGTAAACTCTTTGAAATCCTTGCGTGGTTGAATCCCGTCAGAAGTTTTTTAATGTTGATTCAAGTGATGTTTTCGAAAATTCTAAAAAAACAATAATGAAATGTTTGAAGCTGGTAGATTGAAGGAACAGGTGACATATCAAATACTTCTCGACTTGTAACAACATAAGTTCGGTTATTTCAATCTGGGCTAGATTGACTCGACCTAGACAGGATCACTTTGACCTCAGCGTGGTCATTTTGACCTAGGAAGGATCACTTTGACCTCATCCTGGTCATTTTGACTTAGGCAGGATCACTCTGACCTCATCTTGGTCATTTTGACCTTGGCTGGGTTCCTTTGATTTTGGCTTGGTCATATTGACCTTGGTTGGGTTGTCTTGACCAGTACTGAAATATTTGACGTGGTACCTGTTAAAAGATGGTATATTACAGGCCATTACTCAAGTATGGAGTTGTGAAGTTTAGGTCGGTGTGACTAAATGTGACGAGTCTTGATACCTGTGCTGACATCTAGTGGCGAGTGTAAGTACTCAATGCGTGGGCTTTCTGGTTTTTCCACTTAGAACAAGCAATTTCCAATAAACTATTTTTTTTTATTGTTACATAAATCTTCAGTTTCCATCAGTTCACCAGAAAGCCTAGTATTGAGGTCAAGTTGCCTTTGTAATTAATAAATTTTTGCATGAAGATAAAGCTGGTAAAATTGTAAAAGATATTAAAAAATGCAGATGATTTCTTCCAGACTCTGTTTTATAGATCTACTTGTTAAAAGCAACTTCGATAAAAATGAAATGAAATGTACAGTTGAATTGTCAAACTTAATTCAAAATAAACAGACCCAAAACAAGGTTCTTTGATCAAGTGATATTTTATTGCTTAGAATTTAGAGAAATAAAATATTTTCAAAATATTTACGAAATTGTAATTAGTTTCAGTTGTATTACAATGATAAAAGTTCTGGAAGTCGTAAGTTTTAAAACCCAAATCATAACAGTAATCAAAACGATGAAAACATGAACCCCAAATATATCTGATTCCTCGTATTGATTTTATATATTGTTCTGTAGGACGTGTTCACCAATGCTGCCCCCCTAGGTGCAGGGATAGGTAAGCTCCTCTTACAGAGGATGGGCTGGCATGAGGGACAGGGACTCGGTAAAGACAACGAGGGAAGCAAGGAACCACTCATGCTCGACTTCAAAATTGATAGAAAAGGTGAGTGTATTTTTCAGTGTCACCAAAAGTGGTGACATATTGGTAGTTTTATAACTTTGTTGTGGATGGTGTTCAGTGTTCGGCTGAGAAATTAAATCTAAGGATGAACTGTAAAAAAGTGGATTAAAACACATGATTTTATCTAGGTATTTGCTCTGACCATCGTGGCTTGGAAGTGGTCACACTTAAAGAATAGCTTGTTCAAATGCATGTGTTATTTTACTGCTTTGTAACCATGCTGACTGATGCTCCACATTGAGCGTTTTACTCCATTAAGATTGATTTATTCCATTCCGTTCCGTTCTGTTCCAGACAAAAAATGAATTCTAATAACCATGTTATTTTGCAGGTCTACAGAGCATGGGAGAGAAAGCCAAGGGGGCAGGTGTAGGAGTGAGGGTCATACAGAAGGATTTGTCAGGTAATCATGGGAGAGAAAGCCAAGGGGGCAGGTTTAGGAGTGAGGGTAATACAAAAGGATTTGTCAAATAATCATGGGGGAGAAAGCCAAGGGGGCAGGTGTAGGAGTGAGGGTAATACAGAAGGATTTGTCAGATAATCATGGGGGAGAAAGCCAAGGGGGCAGGTGTAGGAGTGAGGGTAAAATAGAAGGATTTGTCAGGTAATCATGGGAGAGAAAGCCAAGGGGGCAGGTGTAGGAGTGAGGGTAATACAGAAGGATTTGTCAGGTAATCATGGGAGAGAAAGCCAAGGGGGCAGGTGTAGGAGTTAGGGTAATACAGACTGAAGGATTTGTCAGGTAATCATGGGAGAGAAAGCCAAGGGGGCAGGTGTAGGAGTTAAGGTAATACAGAAGTATTTGTCAGGAAATCTTGGGAGAGAAAGCCAAGGGGGCAGGTGTATGAGTGAGGGTAATATAGAAGGATTTGTCAGGTAATCATGGGAGAGAAAGCCAAGGGGGCAGGTGTAGGAGTGAGGGTAAAATAGAAGGATTTGTCAGGTAATCATGGGAGAGAAAGCCAAGGGGGCAGGTGTAGGAGTGAGGGTAATACAGAAGGATTTGTCAGGTAATCATGGGGGAGAAATGGGGTGAGGGTGGAGTGGGGTCATACAAACTGAGACTCATGTCAATTTTTGCAGTTTGCATATTTGTTTATTCATCAATTAGATCAATGTTTAGTGTACAGGCAACTGACACCCATACGGGTGTATATAGTTACATATGATTATATCACACTGACAGATATACACAGCAGTGCTCTCACCACATTGAAATAACTGAGGCACAGCGCCTCAATGTTTTTCATAACACCAAAAAGCTCTCCAATTCAATTCAATGTACCTCATAAAATGTTGCAGTAAAAAATAAGGGAATTCAAACTACAAAAAATCCTGGGAGAGCACTGTTCAGGATTGATGATTTTACACACTCAATTAATCCAGCTTAACGCCTATGTCATAAAGATTTGATTGAATATTAACCCTTTACCATTGTTCTAATGCCTATAAACTGTAATGTTCAATTTTAAATGATCATTAATAATATTGTAATATCCCAAATCACTTTATATGAAAATGGTAAGTCTCCTCTGTCGGATCCAGAAGCTAACAAGGGGGGCCCACATTCCCACAAGTCAGGAAAAAAATTTGCACTTGCGCAGAATAAAAAAATTTAAGGTCCATTTTTAGATAATTTGGCTTAAAAAGCCCCAGAAAGGCAAGGTTATGCCCAAAAAGGCCAATTTTTTGAGACCCTGCAAAATTTTTGGGCCTCTGAATATTTTTTTTGGCACACCCCATGCCCCCCATCCATGGATCCCCCAATGGTCTCATTTAAGACGGGGTAATTGTATTTCTTTTAATTGCTTTGTTTGTAGATTTATGTATTAGATTGCGCTGCATGAATGTATTCTGTCCCTTACAGTACTGCTTAGCTGTATACACAGGGGAGTGTCAATCCCATCATGCGAGACACCCTCACATGGTGATGCATTATGGGTTGAACCTCCCCTGGCCCTGATGTACACCATAATTTCCAGGTAAACATCCTGTCTCTGCTCTGATGGAAATCACAAAGAAACGTCACTGGCCAGCTCCGTTATTTCAAGATGTTCACGAAAGTGGACCTGCTCATAAGAAGAACTTCCTATGCAAGGTAATAATTACATGTGTTTCTGACGTTCCCGTGTCGTTACTTTTTTAGGTAAACATCCTGTTTCCGCATTGGTGGAGATATGCAACAAGAGACGCTGGGGTACACCCAATTTTATTCTACAACACGAAAGTGGACCTGACCATAAGAAACACTTTCTGTATAAGGTAGAGTTTATGAAATCCGCTGGTTGTGTTAGGCTGCTTTGTTGCTTGATTGTATTAAAATGTATTAAGCTATCGTTGTGTATTCATCTCATACATCAACTGGTTGCATGGGTTCCTTCAAAATCATGCAGTTTTTCTCTAGTTTTAGCTCTTTTTAATTGATTTTGGCCCAACATTGTCAAGTTTGAACTCCCCTCCCCTAGGAATTTTTTAAAACTGCCCTGAAATTGACTTATTTGACATTTTTTTAAGATTATTTATTCAATACTATACAAATATTGAATGACGTTAAGTGCAATACCTGTATAAATTTCTGAGGGTGTATTCCACACAGCCCGAAGGGCAAGTGGAATACATCCCCCGGAAATATATACAGGTATTGCACGAAAGCAGAATTCAATATTTGTTTTATTATTTCATACATATTAACAGTTTAACAATATTAATTTATTAACTATAAATTGTCTCAAAAATCAAAAATTGGATTAATAATGCCACATGTCCAAAGACAAGTAGTCTATACATGTGACGTCACATTCGTTGAATACCTGTATTTATTTTTCTAAAAATACACCTTTCACATCAATGACTTGCACATGAATGGAATACCTTGTGGTATTTTTAGTCACATGGTACATGACTGACCAATCACATGCTGATTATCACTACAGAGAAATCTCATTTATGGGTCACCTTGTATGTTGCAATTATTCAACACTTTGATTAGTATAGACTACCCAGTATATTAAAAATATTCAAAAATTTGAAAATTGGTAACCCTGTACTTTGTATTTATAGTGGGGGGAATTTACCCCTATATTAGGCAGAATATTTCAGATGGTGATACAAGTATAAACTTTGGCTTTTCTGCTTCTTAAAACCTTTTTCTAAAAATCTGTCCCTGTGATCGACGGAATATTTCACTTCTTCCTTCCAAAATCCAAGATGGCCGACAAAGTATGACTTAAATAACATGTAGGGTGGGCAAAAATCTTTTTTTTGGAAAATTCATGCTCTCATGGTGAAATGTTGTTCTTTAAGGTGAAAATAGTCATGTGAATTTTTTTCAAATTTTTAAACTGAATTTTAGCCCTCTCCAATGGCCCCAAAGTGTGACGATTTGGCGTAAAATGGGAAATAATGTTCATTTTCTAGGTTCAAATAAAGAATGCAATGACAAATAACATTAATTATTATTTAAAAAACATCTAATAACTTTGCCTGATACTACAATATGAAGATTTCAATTATTGAAAAATTGAAAGTATTTTTTAAAAAGCGTTGAAAGTGCCCTACCCCATAAAATTGGAAAAAGGAAGTTGTGCTCAATTTTATCATTCTGTAGGATTAAGTTAGAAACGTGTATCAACAGAAAACAAATAAGTACATTCAGACCATCTTCAAAGGTAACTGGATATTATAATATGATTATTATAACTATATAGGACACAACATATTTTATATATGTGTATGATTATATGTTTATGTAGTACATGTATCACTATGTAATGTAATGTAATCATAAAATAGAGAGGTTGCTATGATTTCATCAGAGTATGATTAGACATGTTTATCTCTATGTTTAGAGCTGTAGTATACAACATACACACATAACACATAATACTGTTATGAAGTCAAGTCAAAATAAATAATTAGAAGTTAAGCAAGGTTCATTTCTGACACCCTTCTTATTTTGTATACTCACAAATTGGTACAATGGATACTCTATTTAATTTAATGAATTTAACATCATTGGTACTACTGTTCTATAAATAGGAATATACATTCACTAATTTACAAAAGTCATTATTATATAGGAGCCATTTAAGGTTCACTTTTGACACCCTTCTTATTCTTTACACTTACAAATGCACTAATTTACAACAAAATCAATTTGTGTACATTGCCAAAACAACTGAACATTGCGTACTGAGTGAGTTTTGGAGATTTATCAATGTATTTACCATGTTTTACAACTACAACACCATTACTTTGACACCAGCAAGAAAATAATTGCAGAATTTTGCCATGAGTTTAAACAATGGAGTATCATTGCTTGTGGCACTATTGTCCTTCAAGTTTTGTTGTGATTAGCAGCTTTAGTCTTTTTTGTCAGTTTAATTTCCATTCTTTCTGCTTCTACCCCTAAAGCTGCATACAAACTCAGAGAGGTTGGAAAACAGGTTGATCAAACCTCACTCAGTTATTCAGCCAGCTCTGCACAATGCAGCCATAGTCACCATTTTTCTGTTTGGCCTATTTCTAAGAGAGCCTTCTTCCACTCTGTTGCTGTAACTCCAGCAGAATTTAACAGCCAGGAAAGGGACTATCATATTGTTCTGATGTGATGACAATCAAATCATTTGGGCAATAAAGGAGTCTCATTGTAATAGTCATTACAATTAGTCACCTTTCTATCTGTTGCCTGAATCACATATGTTGCTTTAGGACTCTTTAGGCAGTTTGAGGTACTTGTGACAATTGGATCAATATGTTGGATGTTCTATTAGGCCATCCTGCCTTGTCTAGTTGATTGGGTAAGTTTTGTGTCATTTAGTGTTCTAGAAGGATATGACAGGGAGCTTCCAGGAGACTGCAACATTTGATATGATTCCCAGGTTACTAGGTTTTTTAGTTCAGTGAAGATACACAAAATGGCTATTTCAGTGTCATTTGCTGGAGTGACCCCATCAATCCATGAAAATGTGATACTAATATGTTGGATGTGGGTTACCATTTCTCATTTTAAATTCATTGCACTCCTGCCATGATTCCCTTCTCTAAAGGCTGCCAACCAGTGGTGATTGTTTCAGTCAAGAATCTCAACTGAATACCTTCAAGGTGCTCTATCTCAAGGCCAATCACATGTTGAGGAACATTATTATAATGCTTCAAAGCTGTTGAGTTCATTTGTGTGGTACACTGCTGCCTTAGTTATATCAAGCCATTCAATTGGCAAGTTGGTTTTGTGTTGCTTTGTTTCTGCTTTTAGCTGTGTTATAGCTGCAACATCACATGGCCTTTACTGTTGACCTCACTGTAGACAACTCGACACGGGGCTCTAAACTCAGCAAGTCTCTAGACATGTTTAGTTTGCTTTTGTAAAAAATCTGTACTTAAATGTTCAGTATTGTGCAATTCCACATGTAATTCTGTATAATTGATAAGTTCTTGTCTACCTGCCCTTATTTCATCATACTATTAAGAGATTGTGATAATAATGGACTAAGGTAGAACCTTGAAAGACTACTTCAATGTTTGCATTGATACTTGGTTGACAATATTTTCATCCAAACTTGAAATATATTCTTGAATTATGTCTTAGATATTAAATGTATTAGAGAATGTAAGTAATTCAAGTTCTAACAGAGAGGGCCAAAATAGAACCTTGAAGAACTCCTATAAAGCTCTTTTTGCCAAAATTCAAATCAAAGAAGATCATAGCATTTCTAAATATATTTGCATGTCTTAGTACTGAGTGAACCTATTTTTTAACCATATTATCTCTATGTATAAATCTAAGGTGTCATTTTTACCGAATTATGTACATATTTCAACAACCTTAATTTTTTTACTGAAATAGTATTAGGTTTGGCTGATTTGAGGGATGGAATTTTTCTTATTTGCATAAATAACTGACTAGCCCATAAATTTGCATGTACCGCAATTTTGAATATTTTCCACCGAATTCCAAGAGATTGTGATAATAATGGAGTACAGTAGAACCTTGCGGGACTCCTTCAAAGTCTCCTCGGTACTTGTAAGACAGTGTTTTCATGTAAACTTGAAATATTAGATTGAATTATGTGTGAAATATCAACATTATTCAAGAAAACAAGTTTAATGACTAAAGTTGTTGCAAAATAAGAGTGCTCCCAAAATAAAACCTTGTAGAATCCCCATATAAAGTCATTTTGCCCAAATTTAGCTCATTAATGAATGTAACTGTATTTCTAGATATAATGTACATGCTTTAATACTGAATCAATATAATTTTAAACCATATTTATCTCTATATATGAATCTTGAGTGTCATTTGTATTGAATTACACATATACGGCAGCCATCTTGAATTTTTTCCTGAAATAGTGTTCAGTTTGATCGATCACAGGGACAGAATTTTTCCAAATAGTTTAAATAACAGATTAAGCCAATAAATTTGCTTGTATCACCATTTGAAATATTTTCCACTAAATTCCCCCCACTAGTCAATACTTCAATATTTGAGTCATCCTGGATGTTGTATTTATTCATCACTTCAATTTAAAGATCACCCTGTATGTTGTATTTATTTTACATTTTTATCCCATCGAACGAAGTTTGGAGGGATATAGGGAACGCCTCCGTCCGTACGTACATCCGTCCGTCCGTCCGGGCAATAACTCAAATACCGTTGGCCCCATTTTGTTCATATTTTGTATACATATACCCTATGGGGGAAGAAGTTCTGCTCGAAAGGCAATTTTCAAAATGGCCGCTCATTTAAAAAATTTACAGTAATTTAGGTGCAGTATGTAAAACTGTAATAGCAATATGTTTTAAATGTAAAAAAATTATATAGGACATTAATAAAGCTAGAAATGTAGACATTAAAGAAGCACATGGTAGCCATCTTGATAAATGGTGGTCTTTACTCGTTATTTTACGATTTTTGCTGTGACTCGAGAAGTACTGGAGCGATTTTGTTCATATTTGGTATGTGAATAATATAAGCATGGCACACTGTCTAATGACATTTTTGGTAGAAGGTGGCCATTTTGAAAATATAACTCGAAAAGTAGTGGAGCGATTTTGTTCATATTTGGTGTGAGAACACTATAAGCATGGCACACTGTCTAATGACTCTTTTAGTAGAAGGTTCAAAATGGCCACCATATTAACGTATTTTACTATAACTGGAAAAGTAGTGGAGGGATTTTGTTCATATTTGGTATGTGAATACAATAAGCATGACACACTGTCCAGTGACACTTTTGGTAGAAAGTGGCCATTTTGAAAAATGGCTGCCATTTTTGCTATATACTTTGATTGTAAAAATACCAGCCATGGCTGTTCGATGGGATTTGCTATGCTTTGGCGTTGCTGTTGTCTAGTTTGATATATAGGCCACCCTCTGTATGTTCATTTGATTATTGGGTCCTTTATGTTATATTTAATCAATCACTAGGTCAGCCTAAATGTTGTATTTATGGCTTTGACGTTGTATGGCAGTATGCTGTAAATGATTTGCTAGCTGCTTCTACACATTGAACATCTTAACTACTCTCCATGTTAAAGCATGCTTTTTTACTTGAATCACAAAATACAAGGGAAACACTTCTATTTTTCGATCAGCATGTTCCAATCAATTTATGATTAAAATTCTGTTTTATTAAGAAGAGCGGTTGGCCTAGCACTAAATAAACAACAAAATACTGTAGATTGTGATGTGTTGAGATTATCCCTGTAATGATGCATGACTGTAAATTACATTTTAAATGAGTTATCATTTCTGTTTCAGGTGACTGTAAATGGCACAGAGTACCAGCCATCTGTAGCTAGCAATAATAAAAAACACGCAAAAGCCCAAGCTGCCACTGTATGTCTGCAACACTTGGGTATGGTTCCCATGAACCCATTACAGCCATTGTAGTACGGTCGAGACACTGTATGTCTACAACACTTGGGTATGGTTCCCATGAACCCATTACAGCCATTGTAGTAGACTAGACACTGTATGTCTACAACACTTCCCATGAACCCATTACAGCCATTATAGTACAGTCGATACACTGTATTTCTACAACACTTGGGTATGGTTCCCATGAACCCATTACAGCCATTATAGTACAGTCGAGACACTGTATGTCTACAACACTTGGGTATGGTTCCCATGAATCCACTACAGCCATTGTAGTAGACCAGGCACTGTATGTCTACAACTCTTCCCATGAACCCATTACAGCCATTGTAGTAGACTAGACACTGTATGTCTACAACACTTCCCATGAACCCATTACAGCCATGGTAGTACAGTTGAGACACTGTTTGTCTACAACACTTGGGTATGGTTCCCATGAACCCATTACAGCCATTATAGAACAGTCGAGACACTGTATGTCTACAACACTTGGGTATGGTTCCCATGAATCCACTACAGCCATTGTAGTAGACCAGACACTGTATGTCTACAACACTTCCCATGAACCCATTACAGCCATTGTAGTAGACCAGACACTGTATGTCTACAACACTTCCCATGAACCCATTACAGCCATGGTAGTACAGCTGAGACACTGTATGTCTACAACACTTGGGTATGGTTCCCATGAACCCATTACAGCCATTATAGTACAGTCGAGACACTGTATGTCTACAACACTTGGGTATGGTTCCCATGAATCCACTACAGCCATTGTAGTAGACCAGACACTGTATGTCTACAACACTTCCCATGAACCCATTACAGCCATGGTAGTACAGTCCAGACATTTTTTTAGGGAAAATAACCTTGTGTTCAGTTTTTTATTTTTTATTATGTCATTCTAAATGGCTAGAATGAAATAATAAAAATCATCCAAATTGGCAAGAAAAAGAGATTAACCATAGATATGCTGGGATGATAAGGAATCGATTAACTAATTACTGTATTTGTAAGTCCTGAAGTAGTCAGATAACACAATTTACCTTTGAAACTGAGTTTAAAGTTATTGAAGAAGGTGAATAGGCCTAGCCAGTGAAGGACAGATATGTTTTATTTTAGTTGGGTATTAAAATGTTGGAATATTAATTTGAATTGAAATTATATTTTTCCTATGATATTTTTTAAAAATTAGTTTTCATGAAAATTGTTCATCTTATGAACACCATGATTGTGTGTAGACATTACAATCAAAATAGAATATTATATTTTTGTAGAAAAACTAATTTCAATATTAATGAAAATTGAATTTAAGATTGTAATTATCAAAATTCTTTTACATGGTATGAATTTTAATCACTGGATTTTATAGTAATGACACACTTTCATTATGTATTTAAATTACATGTACTGTAGAAATCATACCTGTAGGCATTTATTACATGCGAAAATATATTAAGTGTTAGAGCTTTTTACATTTAAAGCACTGGGTCTCTGGGAAGACCAGTTTTTGTACTGATATAGCTACCCAGAATATAGTTTTCCAATCAAATCAAATGCTAAGGTTGTCGTTAAAATCTGGATGTAATCGTTTCTGTTACCTTGGTGTTCAGTATGTACATGGAATGATAAGAATGATTATAAGGAAATACTGGGATAAATTGGAATTTTGATTAATATCTGAATAAGAACAAAATATTTGGGCTTACATATTAGTTTGTTTTGGAGCAACCTCCATAGAGATCATTGAAGTAAATCATTTCAATTTGGTTAGTTTGGTGTTTTGTATTTCAATATTGCGACAAAATTCTACGTTTTTCTAAATTCATGATAAGTATATTCCATTCTTGCCATAGTTGTGTTCTACTGCATCATATCCAGGTGGCATGTTGAGCTTTCATAGATTGATAAATGTTTTACATTTAAATGTAGTGTACATGTATCTGTATAAGTGTAAATATTAACAAATACAAGCATATGTATATAAATGTACAATAGTTTTTGTGTTTATTTGTATAAATTAACAATTCAAAATGTGAATGTAAAAAGATAAAAAATTATGACAGTAATTCTTTGACATCAATGCAGCATTGATACTTATATATTAAGTAGATTTATGATCATACTATTAAAAAACAAATTACAAAGCTCTTTTAAAAACTACAACGCCCTCTTGAGAAATACAAAGCAGCACTACCAAGCCCTTTCAAAAACTACAAAGCCCTTTTGAGAAGTCCAGGAACCTTCCTCTTGTAAGGCCAACTGTTTAAGTCCAATGGCCCAGAATTTCATTGTAGTAATAGTCACACATGTGCTGACTGTTTAATTCTCCATTAATTTTGGTTGTATTAAAACTATTGAGATTTTGGAAAGTTAGGTCCGGTAATCATGCCTATGTCAGTATGTGAACATATTGTGCAGGACATTGAACAAGTATGTACAGTGGAATCCATTGTTCATCATAATAAAGGATACTTGATTTGGAAAATCATGCAACAAAATCATCAATGACTATTTTAATTTCAAAAGCTACTTTGTAAGTTCAATCAAATACTGCTATTCTCCCCCTAAAATCTCATAAAATGTTCAAAATCATAAACACTATCGAGACTTCGTCAATTGTCCTAGATTGTCTACTGCACTTCACAACCATTCCCAGGCAGATTGTCATACTAATTTTACACATGTTCTCTCAGCTATACTCTCCAACAAAAAATGTTCATTCAGCTGTTGTGATTTTATCCAAAGATTTAAGCCTCAGTCACAGTGGCTGTATGGCGGCCATAGCTTCACAAAATTGATAAAGAAAATCTACATTATACTGCTTACATGGCTTATCCCTATATTTTATGCTGCACATTTCTCTTGAATTTAAGAAACTATGGCCATCGTACAGTCTGCCATAGATCAATTGTGACCAAGGCATTAGCCTTCTTATATTATGTTCAATTTATGCCATCAGTCATGTATGTTTTTACTGTCATTACACTGAATTCATAGATATGTTATCTCATGTGCTAATTATGCAAGCATAAACATTGTTATTCATGTATTCTGGTATTATTCATGCCATCCCGTAACCTTGACTACCACACTGCAGTGCCACCTGTAGTCGATCATCTAGCTCAGCCTCGCTGCGATACTCTGGCAATTTTAGCAAGTTGATGCTGAAACAAACAGAGAAACGAACAATTAAATTTTATCTTTGCAACAGCCATTTAAGATAAGGTCATCTTTGGCATTTTAGGGATTTCATATTCATTCTGACTTTTGGTCTCATAAATATGTATATATAGTGTACCTCCATATTCAATTTAATTGTCTGAGCAACTAATTTCTTCACATTACCAACATTAAAATATCTGACCTCATGTAATGTAATTCAAAATGATCTTACCAGGTTGCAGCAGATGGAAGAACCTGGGGAGAGTACTGGACAATAGATATGTTAAACTTCTGGGGTCCCCCACCACCTGCTAGCTTTGCGAAACCACCATGTGGAACCCTTGAGCTACCAGTCACAAACTGTAGTAGTAACACTTTTTCTTGTTGGCTCAGCTTTTCTACCACATTCCAGAACCACTGAAATACACAAAGTAAAATAGCAGTTAAGAATTGCCCGTGTAATGACTGAATAAATCGCCATTGTTGGATTTTTAGCATAGTAAAGTTTACATGGATGTTTGCATGGAGCTTGACATTCCACTCAAGCAATCACTTTATCAAGATTAATTATTCATGGAAAAGTAGGTTTCTACCAAGGTCTTGTAACGATGCAAATTGCAGGATGTATATGATTTTAGGCTTTTTCAAGTCATAGTTAGAAACTAAGTCACTTGAGGGGAATAACAGAGCCAAAATCAACATAAAAATCACCTGTATGACATGTCTATCCTCCTCTGCTGTACTGTACTCAGTATTAGCCTTCCAATCTTCTATATCAATCTCCGGAAGTCCCGACAACATCAGCTCTAGTTCATACTCATCAAACATCTGCACTAAGGATTGTGGGATATATTTGTGGAAGCCATTCAGGAAGCTCTCGATCTGTGGCTGGATTGCACGCGTCATGCGGAGTTCTGTCACCAGTTGGACATATTCTTGTTTGTTGGATTCCGTGACTGGTAAGGTACTACCTGGAGAGATAAGAGAGGCATTTCTTGATGACGAATCAGGCACATAAGAAATAACACAGGGCTCCTTCAAAGAGGGATTTCTAGGTCTGTTTTTCAGGATTAATTATGTAGAATTACGACTGTACATATATCTAAGAGGTATTGCTCATCTTCATCAATACAATACAAATCAGGCACATTAATCAATAGCACTCTACGATACATGTACAGGGTGGTACAAAAGGCAACCCTGTCACTATTTTCACCATATCTTTGTCATTTTAGGATATTGCTCCCTGATATTTGGCACATATGTATATCATTCAATTTCCTACTGGCCTACCCTATTTCATGACAATCAGACTGATAGTCACAATGTTGCAGTACTTTAAACAACATGCTCCAGTGGCCACTATTGCTCTGTAGACAAACCTGCATATGTCATCCAAAATGTCTGTACCTGACTTCTACCTGCCTGTGGGGATATGCCAGAAATAGAGTGTACAAGAATGACCTCAGGACAACTGCAAACCTCAAAAGAGAGATCATCCATGTCTTTCAGGCAAAACCTGCTGAGGACAACTTGACAACTTGTACAGGTTTGCCTACAGCACGATGATGGCCACAACTGGGGCATGTTGGTCAAAGTGCTGTAACATTGCAACTATCAGTTTGATGGTCATGAAATATGGTAAGGTGGTAAAAAATTGGATGATGTACAAATGTGCCAAATAACAGGGTGTAATTCCTTTAGATGACAAAGATATGAGGAAAATACAGGGTTGCCGTTTTTTTACTACCCTGTATTAATAATGTTATTACTGTATAGATAGTTGCGTACTTCATTCTACAGTGAATTTAGGAATGTGTTATTGTATTGTATATTTGAATAGCTTCCTGATCTGGTACGTTGCAGTTGCATACATTCTTAGCAGGTATAAATGTTACAGAATGTGATAATTGTACCCAAGTAAAACATAAATCTAATATACCACTAATACATCACCAATAGATCACCAATAGACCATGAAAAGTGATTTAGTCAAGTGGTTTGTAAGTTATGTATTAAAACTGGCAATACTCAACTAATACATCACTGTGGTGTAGAAGTAGGGTTTTTAGGTTGAGTGGTGTGTAAGTTATGTTTTAATTGGATTTTTTCTGGAATGGTCTATTAGTAGTGTATTAAAACTGATCCTTGATTTAGAATGAGAAACCCCTTTTAAATGGCGGAAATAGTTAAAATGTAAGGGAATTCATTCTGCAATGAAATGTAGCATTAAAACCAGAAGGGTGACTGGACTTTATGGAATCTTGCGCAACATAAAGGTATGTAGAAGATGTACATGTTGATTCTTATTCATATATCTCATTGAATTAAGCACTACAGAGATATTGTACCTTATGGGATGAATGTATAAAATTCTGAGATTTCAGGGGAATAGTGGTGTATTAATGGTTTTAAGCCTTCTGGGAATGATGTATTAGTGGTCAATTAGTTATATTTGAGACTTCAGGAGTAATGTAGAAGTGGTGTATTAGTGATGTATTAATAGTCTATTACATGCTCTCTGATTGGTCAATAATTTTATCTCATGTGCATGGTTATTTTTGAACCAATAAACCACCTGTTAAGTCAAATAAACCTGTTATGGCAAAAACAGTGGTCTGTTAACGAAAATCACCACTAACAAATCACTGATAGAACATGTTCTACTAGTTGAGTATTAGTAGTCTATTAGTGGTGTATTAGAGTGGTATGGTAAGCTGTTTTTTCACTTGGGTACTCCTAAAATAAAAAAATCAATAAATAACTGTTCCCATTCACTAGTTGACTAGGCTATATCAATAAAAGGTTACAGCGACCTAACATACTCACTATGGATTCTAATGAGTTCTGAGAACTGTTTAGCATAAAAGTATAGATAGAAGTTGTGTGTTATATAGAAGTTGTGTGTTATTTCAAAGCGCATAAAACCAAAATAATGTAGCTGCAAAATCATTGTTTTAGATAAATTGATTGTCTCCTGGTTATTGTAATTATTCATCGAAGTAATAGACAAAGAAGGACAACAAAGTACCATTAGCTTGCTGTGGACTAGGATATAAAGGATGTGTCCGGGTATATGCCCTTTTGGTCCCTCAGTCAAATGTATGTTAAATATGTTTTTTATTACTGTCCTAGTTATATTTGATAAGTATATTTACTTTTTCACTAGTTTTGATGCATAATTAACCCCCTGCTGAGAGTCAGAATAAGTATCTTAACAAAAAGAAAATAGTCATTATCATAGAAAACAAACATCAATGACAACGTATATGACTTGCAAAGAAGAAATAACTAAGACCCATGAAGAATTTAAAAGAAAATCATATTTTTGAAATATATTTAACGATTAAAATATTTTTCAAATATTTGAATTTCCCGCCAGTTTAATTTGAAGGGGGAAAAACAAGATGGCTGCCATTTGATGTAAGAAATATCAGAAAAAAAGTTGCTTCACTTTTAGTTTTCACAATGAGCACAGTTTTACGGTTTAGGTTTTTTGACTGATTCTGACTCTTCATCACCAGGGTCATGTATAGAGATTATAAAATTGAAACCGGAATGTTGTGCTCAGCATGAATTTGACTGAAATATGTGTAACCTCACCAACACAATTGAAGTCTCAAAACTGGATGCTCAGTAACTTTGAGTGACTATAATCCCTTGATTACCCAGATAAATACCAATTCACTTATCCAGAAATGCCATTCAATGTCTATACAAAGAAAGTAAGCAATGTTTTGGAGGATATGTTTCAAACCTTTTGTATAAATAATTCATTTAATATTTGCCATTGATTTTTTTTTCAATTCTGACAAAGTGATATGCACTGTCTTTGATGCCAATATTCTTCATTAATTGTGATACAAATTGATATTTTTGTACTCTCAGAAGAAGGATAAGATATTGAAGTTTAATAATATGTGTGATTGAGTTGCTTTTTCAGACATTACAATTTTCAATATTTTCTAAGTCGATACCCAGACTCATTCCCAGACTCATCCTTTTCATTCATATGAATGTAATCCAATGGCATCCCAAGACCATTATAAGGAAGCTCTCACTTGTGCATTGTGCAAAGACATATTAATTGACCCTAGGACATTGCCATGCTTGCATGTCTATTGCCTAAAGTGTCTTCATAGTCTAGTTGAGAAGAAAAAGCTTCAGGGAGGATATTTCAAGTGCCCAGAATGTCGCCATGAGTGTATTGTACCACAGGAAGGGGTGGGAGAGTTCAAGGTGAGCCCTACAATTTCATTCTTGTTAGATGCCTATAAAGACAGTGACCAGATGCAAGAACCTGAATGTACAACATGCCGCGATACCTTCGAGAAACACACCTCAGCTACAACCCAATGCCTTGATTGCAACAAAAGGCTTTGTGCTACTTGTCGTAAGTTGCACGACTCATTCTCTCAAGGTCATAAAGTGCTCGAACTCACTGGAGATAAAGCTACAGATCTTCAAACAGCACTTCAGTCCATAAAGGAGCGTAATGTCTACTGTGAGATACACCCGACCAAACCAATTGAGCTCTTTTGTAAAGTTGACAAAATGGTACTTTGTCAGCTATGCTACCTAACAGACCATGCACCCCATGCATGTGAAGACATTAAACAAACAGCAGCAAAACAAATGAAGCCTATTGGTGCAGTTATCACACTGGGTAAAGGACTTGTGGACATGTACGAGAATATTATTCAAGAAACACAAGCTTACAAAGAAGAATTGGAGAAAAATGCTGAAAATGCCACTGCTGCAATTAACGATGATATGAACGTCCTGCTCCAAGCAGTCCGCAACAAGTACAAGTCCTACAAAGACCATGTGAAGAAAGAAAAGGAATCAAATGTGAAGCAAGTTATGTCCCACCTCGGTCACCTGGAGCTTCAAAAAGCCATCATCGAGGGCCAAGTCAACAAGTACTGCACAATGGTAGAGCATGGTCACCCTGTAGAAATAGCTAGCCTGAGGGACCAGCTCAATAAGAAATCAGAAGAGTGGTCTAAACAACCAAACCAAGTTTTCTGCAAAAGAATTAATATCAACTTCACTGACAGTGAAGTTAATGAAGATTGGGTGGAATTTGGAACTGTACAAATAGAAAAGATTAAGCCTTTGTGTGAACACTCTGTGGAACACATAACACTACTGAGTAAGAAAATATTCGACCTAACTGCTACAAAAGCTGGTGAATATGTTACTACACACGTGGGAAAAACATCTAAAATATATGATACAAATTTCAAGTTAAAAAGAGATATTAGAAGGAGATATAGACAAGTATGTCTTATCACTGAGAACCAACTGGCCTTTACAAACGACACAAACAAAATCAGCATCCACCTCCAAAATGGTACCCACAAAAGAGATATAATATGTCAAGGTTTATCGGAACTATGGGGTATAGCATTGGACACACCATCAGGAAACCTTCTAGTTTGTGATCGAGGCAGAAATAAGAATGTGTACCACATCGATCCCGCAACAGGTGACACAGTTAATCACTGTCCGCCAGGCACATTTGATGACCCTTGGTATGTAACATGCAACAGCAAGGGTGTGATCCTGGTGAGCGACTTTGGTGCCAACTGTATTAAGGGGATTGATCAAGAAGGAAAGGAGGTGTTTTCTTATGGTGAGGAAGGAAATGGAGATCAACAGTTTCTAGAGCCTCGTGGAATATGCACTGATGCGAGAGACTTTATATTTGTAGCAGATTTTGACAATGATCGTGTTCATTTACTTAGCCCTGATGGTAAATTCATCAAGTATGTTCTAACAGAGAAGGATGGGTTACAATATCCAATTGCTGTTGCAATCCATGATGACCACCTCCTGGTTGGGAATGACTTTGGGGAGCTCTTTACTGTGAAATACAGGGAATAAAGTAAGTATACAAATATTTTATAGAATTCATGTCTCTAAAAATATATTTATGAACATGATTTAACAAGTAAAATAATTTGTGTTCTTTGTTTTCACTAGTTGCATATTCCTCTCTCTTCCTGTATATATAGTTTATAATGTATGTAAACAATTTGCAAATTATAAAGTTTTATGATTCACGCTGTATCATATCATTCGTAACACATCGTGAGGTCAGTATTGTAGACACATATCTATATTCATTCTCTAGTATCGTGGTACTCCTCATATAAACTGGAATATGCATGTATATCCAAATTTGGGTCCACTGAAAAAAACGTAAAGCAGCGGGCATGGTGTCAAAATGGTGTTAAGAAGTATTACAAGTCAAAAACTTCAGGGCCTCCCTGACACTATGCATTTACATACAAAATATATGTCCTTAATTCTCACTTTTCCAGTCTACAGCCCTGGAGTGAGATGTACAGACTGATCATTGTGAACACATACAACACCCAACAAAGTTTATAATTATAATGGACAATAGACTCGAACTATGATTGAATACAATGGATGATGAACTCATAATGAACATCCATGTAGCTCAGCGGTAGCACAGGTACCTCTTACGCAATAGGTCCCGGATTCGATCCCCAGTTCAGGCAAGACTAAATTTGCTTGTTTGCGTGAAGTACCTGAGGGTGTTTGACTGAGTGGCCCGCAACTCGTACAAAAGGCTGTGGTGTGTACTTGTATGTCTATGTATAAGTGCACATAAAAGAACACAGGGCTCCTTCAAGGAGGGGGTTCTGGGTCTATCTTCCATGTTAATTACGTAAATTACGACCGTATATGTACGGGACATACCCAAGAGGTATTGCTCACCTTCATTGGTGGTAAACAAAATACAACAACAACAACAACCACAACAACAACAACAACAATATACAAGTACATGCATCAAACATTGCTGACAGTGGATATGTTATATTATATCTTCATTGGACTCCATTCATTCAACTTCCACATTTACACCTAGCTGCATACATATTTAAAGACATGCGTATTCAGCCAATGCTTAAAATCTTACTTGCATGATAGTCTACCTGAAAATGATTGTTTTGGACTTCAGAACAGTTCATCTTAATTCCTATACATTACTTCAGCATTGGAACCTTTTAAAATGTTTTAAAACTGAGCTTTTTTGTAGATAAGAAGGATTAGTAACCATTCTTTTCATAATTACTACCCTATTGATTTGCAGTGTCATTATAACATACATCAACCTGACATGATGGCTTCAAGTCAACCTCCCTCACGACCTGGAATACATCAAGCTATACACTGAATGTTAGGTCAAGGCAAGAGGTATCATGCACCTACCTGATGGCTTCAAGTCAACCTCCTGCATGACCCCAAATACACCAAGCTATACACTGAATGTTAGGTCAAGGCAAGAGGTATCATGCACCTACCTGATGGCTTCAAGTCAACCTCCTGCATGACCCCAAATACACCAAGCTATACACTGAATGTTAGGTCAAGGCAAGAGGTATCATGCACCTACCTGATGGCTTCAAGTCAACCTCCTGCATGACCCCAAATACATCAAGCTATACACTGAATGTTAGGTCAAGGCAAGAGGTATCATGCACCTACCTGATGGCTTCAAGTCAACCTCCTGCATGACCCCGAATACATCAGTCTCCACACTGAAGGTCAGGTCAAGGCCAAGGTCAGAGATATCATGGTCAAGAATCCATTGGAGGTTCTTAGCATACTCTGGGTCTATTGAAGCCACATCTTTGTAGTTAACTGGTACTCCTGAAATGGTAATAGATAATACATAATTATTGACATTGGGATAAAATTCATATCCTTCAAAAATCATACAATATCCTTTGATTATAATTATATTTGAAATAAACATGATTTAGCAAGAAATATTTCTCACAGTGTTGAGGTTAATGAAAACACATAATGAAATTCTGTGCTAAGGGGTGATAGACTATGATGTGAAGTCCAGTCCATCCTATAAGGGATTGAACCTACAATGCATCACATTCTGGACGAATGCTCTACCACTGAGCTATAGAACTGACTGACTCTTTCACATCAATACTGCTGTTACTGTGAATCCACTTACCAAGGATATGTTTGTAGAAAGATCGTGTAAAGTAAACGTTAAGGAGTTGTTTATGGTACAATGCAAGACCCATAGCTTGACCCGCAAACTCAAAATAATTCAAATGGTCGGGGTTAACAGACGAGTTACTATTCGGCTGGAAGGTGCTGCCATCTGCTGACTGAGTAAAAAGAGCATAATCTGGGTTGAGGATTTCTCGTGACAATACATCGAACCATTCTCTCATCACACCTTGCCCCATGCCATCCTCGTTGTCAAACCGAACTGCAAGATTTTTCTTGAGTTTTTCCGGATTGTTCTTGAGAAGTTGATAACAGCTGCTATCAAACAATTTCTCTGGAAATAAATGAGTATGTGATTAAAATTATAAATGCTACATGCTCTTCTGAATGTGAAAGGGAATAAATAGGCAATTAAAACACCATAAGCAGGTATTAATATGTCATTTGTTACAGATGCCAACCGCCAAACACCGAACACCAACAGCCATCCACAAAAAATATTCCATGCCCACTTAGAAGATTACCTTACCTCTTTTAATGACTAGTATATCAGAATCATAAGGTGGAATGTGAAGGACCTCACTAGTTGTGTTGTCAGGGTGTAAGTTCTCATAGAACCAGTCTTTCCTGGCATCAAATGGCTGAAACACACAGAAGTTACACATAAAAACATTTTAAAACATCTGCATACATGTCACTCTTCTTGGTCAGGTTCTAAGTTCAGTTTAATTATCATCTTATAATTTCAATTTAAAGAAATTATTGCAAGAAACACATGATTTTTATTTCAATCGGGACATCACCAATTTTTTTATTTAACTATTTACTTTTGCTTTACTTTATAATTAGCTTGAGGAATGAATGATAAAATTTGGATTTGATGAAATAAGACTCAATGATACAATTTAGAGTACCAGGTGTATGCCTGTTTTCGTCAAATCCTCGTTAATTTCACCATTTCCACTCCAAATACCAGGTGTCCTTGTACTTCTGTTTTCTTAAATTCCTTGCTAATTTCACTCCATTTCCACTCACCATGACAACCACATTTGTACTAACCTGTGATTTTATGATGTGCATAAAACGAGACATCAGTTCGGGGCAGTCTAACAGGAAGTGAAAGTGGTCAAAGATGACAGTCGGATTTCTGGCGACTAAAAACTTGAGCACTGTATCATGTCTGCAGACAAACTCTATGAACCTTGGTGACGTCATCCTAAAAATATAAAACAATAATATTCAGATAGTGCAGTCCAAGAATGGAAATATTTTTGTACATATTTTCAGGCACATCCTCAAACACAAAAGGACTTTTGCCACTCGATATTTTTGTGAGCTATCTGGGCTCTGGCAAATTCTTGACAAACTTGGGCTAATTTCTATATATTTGTATATCTACTTCTTGAACTGATAATTTTTTTACTGATGAGATAAATGCTAACCTTTCAAAGTTCCAAGTGAAACATGGGATGATTTGAATTATTATACTTGGTCAACTTTGATTCTGATCAACTGGTATTTGAGCATAAATGTCAAATGAAATTAATGACTTCTGCCAGCAAGGTTTTATTGAAGACTTGACATTAAAAACTGTTTCATTTTATAAGTTAGTTCACAATATCATCAACCGCAATAACATTATACACATTTTATATCAATTTTATATCAATTTCAATACAACAATAACTAGGAAAGTTAATCATTCAGAAGGAATGGTCTGTATAGTATACTGAGTAAGAAAAAGCAGAAAATGATGTTCTCCAAGATGACTCTAGGATGCATTCTTGTCACTTTAATTCTGGTAATAACAACAACTGAAGGAAAGAAGAAACCATGCGTTCCTCACCCAACTGCAACATGCAACAAACAACAAAAGAGTTGTCCAAACACATACAGATGTGCCAAAGTGAATGGGATATGCTGCAGGAAGAAGAACATACCAGCCGATTGCGATGCTGCAATTGACCAATCAACTAATGCACCATATGAATGTACACGACCCTTTTATAGCTGTAAATCATTAGATGGACCAAAAACCAAGTATGTTTGTATCTATCATAATCATGGAAGGAATGCTTACTCTATGTGTTGTGAGAATCCTATCTGCTTTGACATATCTGGAAACATGCATAGGAAATATGAAGGTGAATGGACCGAGTCTAACGGCTGTACCGTATGTAGCTGTATATCCACCAACAACACTGAATGTGATGACTCGAAATGTCAAAACAAATGTGGTATGTAATTTCATGTGTAATAACAATAGAACACTGTTATTGATTTGTGGTTTGGTGTAATATTGTAATGCTAGTCTAAAATGTTGTACAAATGCCTAGATGTATTCAAAATCAACATTTTTTATTGTAGGTGAATTTTCTCAATTTTCCCCATGCCCAAAAAGCTCATGTGGTAAACAGTATAAGATAAGGAAATGTATAAATACAAAGAATGACATAAAATCGCAGCGTAATGCTGAACTGAACGTGACAATATGTTATCCCCAGCCTCCAGCCCAATGTCCACTCCCAGGAAGAGTTAGAAGTAATTTAGTTATTGTACCCATGCGCCAAGGGGCTGCTAGAGTATTCCCAGAGTTCAATTATCGTTGGATGGCTCATTTTGCTTATGGACAAGAGGATCAGGTTTATTGTGGAGGTTCAATTCTAAGTCCAAGGCATATTCTAACTGCTGCCCATTGTTTCTACTTGTTTGGAAAGAAAATGTCAGCGTCTTTTATTAAAGAGAAATTCACAGTTAAAACTGGTAAATATCGGTTATCTCTTAAAGAACCTCTTGAGCAAGCTCCAAAAATTAAAGATGTGACCACTCATGAAGGTTTTGATCCAGACACATACGATAATGATATTGCTATTGTAGTACTTCAGTCACCAATTCAGTTTAATGAACATACGCATCCGATCAATCTTCGACATAAAAAATTTGGTCGAAAAGCCATGGGGAAATATTTTTGTAAAGTATTGGGATGGGGCCTTACTAATGATTCTTCTGTAGACAGGGATATTTTATTGGAGGTAATAGTTACCCCAGAAAGCCATTTGACTTGTACAAAGAAAGTTGAAAATGTCACAGAGAATATGTTTTGTGCTACTCCTAGAGTCCCTTATAAGGATAAGAAGTTAAAAAGTTTGGATCAATGTGCAAGTAATTCTGGGGGACCTTTAATGTGTCGCAATGGGCCACAATGGTATCAGTATGGCCTAGTAAGTTCCTGTAGGAACCATACTTACCAAATTGGGGTATATACTAAATTACCTAACTATACAGATTGGATAAAAGATGTCACTTCATCTCCTGGGGGCTGGGGAGACTTCAGTGGATATTCACCATGTTCAGTATCATGTGGAGGTGGAACCAGGTCCAGAGTGAGGGCATGTACCAACCCTGAACCTATTCGCAATGGGAAATGTCGTGGCTTTAACTTCAAGACTACAGACGGTGAGATGGTATATATAGAAGATGAGGAATGCAACACTAACCCATGTTAATCTCCAGGACTGGCACTCCAAGAAGAGAAACAATGTGGACAGTAAAATATACAATGTACTTATACAATATAAATAAAAATATTCAGTAATACTAGCTTGTGTAAGCGTAAGAGCATGTGCACCTGTCAATATTTTTGTGACTTCAATCATTTTGCAAATTGTTTATTTAGCATACTAAGACAAATGGAACTTTTACCATGGCAGTCCCTGATTCTAATTGGTCAAATGGAACTGGAAGTGCATGTAGTATACATAAGGGTTTCATTAATTTGGAATTACTTTGTTTCAACCCTTTTAGAATTCTTTATTTTTTGGATTCCTAAAGCATATATACTTACTGTAGTTTATCAGTCTGACAAGCACAGCACATGTAGAACGCCTGTATTACTGCACATATTCTTGGACACACAACCTCTATGATGTCTTGTTGTTTGCCTGCTTGCTTGAGTTTATCAAACCTCTCTGACAATGGAATGATACCTTCATCATCTGTGCTGCATATGGAGGCCTAAAATAGTGTAGTCATATAGTTGTTTATACATATCACACTACGTAATTGTTGTAATTTCAAATTTTTAATTAACTGTAGCACAGTTTTACTAGCATTCTGCAAAGTATTTCAACCTGGATTTTCATATATAGCGCAGTCAGATGTCCCTTTGGTAGTTCGACTTTTTCAGGAAAGCAACAAACTTGGCACAGTTGTAGAAACATATGATCTGAATGAAAAATGATTTCGGGGCAAGTGATTCGGGGTGGTCTTCATGGATTGTAAGCCTCTGACCCCCACCCCTATCAGGCGGGGAGGGGGTACATTATAATAAAATAAATAAAAATAGTTGTAAAGTATATTTCTTTAAATGACTTCATTTGGTGATTGCTTTGAGCCTTGAAATTGAGAAAAACCTATTTTAGAAATGGTGTTTAGGAAGGAAAATACATTTTAACCCAATTATCTAGCGTGAATTCATCTTTCAAAGGGTCAAATATGGGACATCAAGTACTGTATTTCAAGAATGTGATGTCTGATCATCCTGAAAAAATTCATACTAATAGAGATATAGGTGTTAATCACTCATATGATATATGGCTTGTGTAGCTCATGTAATTTTTGAGAAATAAATTATCGAAATATGGATATTTAAGCCCTTGCGGCCTAGGGGTGACCTTATTTTACCTTAATAATTTTTAAGATACGCAATGTTTGGGCCTCATATGAATTCTAAATGTTGCATTAAGTATTGTTTTGTCATATTATTCCTAATTAAATGTAAAAAAATTATTGGAAATTAAAAAAATAATCAAATTTTCATTTTCGGTTCTAAAGGGCCAGGGGTAACCATATTTTACCCTAATAATTTCCCAGATATGTAATATATGCATCTCAAATTAGCTCAAGATGTTGCATATAGTTCTGTTTTATCATACTTCTTCCAATAAGATGAAGAAAATGATCGGATATATCTAAAAAATCAAAATTTTCACTTAAGCTCTTGATGGCCCTGGGGTAACCTTATTTTACCTTAATAATTTTCTAAATATGAGACATAGTCACCTCAAATGAGCTTAAGATGGTATATTTAGTCCTGTTTTATCATATCATTCCCAAGGAGTGAAAAAATGATTGGAAATTATAAGAAAATGACATTTTCATATTACACCCCCAATCCGCAACATCTTCTTGCAGCGCTGTAAACAGTACTGAACAATGCAGTCAGAGTACTGCACTATATAGCAATGTACAATGCTATTCTAACACCATCTGTTTTGGACAGCGTAGTACAGTACTGTTTTTACAGCTCAGTACTGTTTTAGAAAACAGCTGTGTTCAGTACTGTTTTTACAGCACTGTTTACGAAACCATGCTGTTTGATGCAGTTTGAGATTGGTAGTGTAGTTTATGATAGGTCAGGGATGACCTAATTTTACCTTAAAAATTTAAACAAAGATATATCATATTGTCTACTCAAATGAGCTCAAAATAGTGAATATAGTCTAGTTTTGTCATATTATTGCTACTGAGATATACAATAATGATTAACAATTATAAAAAATGAACCTCAACAGCCATTTATTCCTTTTTAGTACCAATGGCAATACTATCTAGTTTTATAGAACATTTTCTAAGATATGAAAATGTTTGATAAGTCCCGTTCATACTCGCACGAGTAGTAGCATTGTTAAGATTCTGTATATATTATCATTTGAGTATATAATCCAAATCTATAAAACCTAATCAAAGGAGTCATAATTTATGGATTCTGACAGTCTCTCCTACAGCTACATAGCTCAGAGCAAATCAGATCTGCTTTCAAACATTTGCATCTGTTCTCTTGACACAGGTATCTACCCCATGACCTACATTTTATGTTGTGGCCTCAGTATCAGCAGTGGGAGTAGTCCAGCCACATTCATGTGGTGATAGAAACTGTGGGTACAGATGCATCAGAATGAATAAGGAATGAATAATTGACATTTTCAGCACAAGTTACTGCCAGTTTAAACCACATCAAAATCAACTGTATTGACTATGATTCTTATTAGGTCATGACAGAAGCAGTCTTTGGCATGCTTCTTCATATGAGCGAATGGTGATGGCAGATACTTCACTATCGGGCAAAGATATTGCATTACCTCATTGTGAGGTCACTATCTTCTTGCCATCTTCCTCCAGGGTTTCAGTTTAAATGCCAGGAAGGAAAACAGCTCCCTCTTGTTCCAACTATCTTAGGAAATCTTGCCAATTCCACAGAAGAAAATTAGTAGGATATACTTTCCTCACTGTTCCAGTTTTGTGCTGTTTGTATCTATGCTCATTAACATCAAAGTTGAATGACTAAGCTACATAGTAGATGCCAAAATAATAGACAGGGCATGTATAGTTAAACATGCTAACAGTGAAATATAAAGAAAATTTGGTGATTATGCAAATATGATATTACCCACGAAAAAGTCTGCAAATAGTTCATTGCCTTGATGTCAGCTGGGATGTTTACAAGACACTAGCTTAAAGGGGCAACAAGGTCTGTAGAAGATTCAATTTTTTTACTCTTTCTGAGCTATCAGGGCAATATTTGGCTTTGACATACCTATTGCAATGCAATGTTTTAGCCCAACAGTGTGGTTCTGCCATCACCCTTGCTCTTATAAGAAGAAGCAGATTCAAGGATATTTCTCAATATTTTCAGTTAGACTGCTTCAATCATGGCCTTCAAGAGAAAGAATAATACTCCTTACATTTAATTCTGATGTGGTTATCCTGGCATATATGTGATGTTAAAAACTGAAAAAGTCAATTTGGATAGCATATGGTAAGGGAGAAAACAAATCAATATCTACCTGCCCATGACCAAAGTTTAATCCTCCCCATTTCTCATACAATCATTGGATGTGATGTTACATCTGTATTCTACTGCTATGGAAAAATGGAATAAATGGATTGAGATTTAAATGTGTCACTGAATTTTCTAATTGTTGTTATTATCTCAGTAGGAATAAAGTGAAAAACAGACTATTTTCCCCATTTTGAGATCATTTTATCTTGAAAATTATTGTGATAACATTTGGCATTCTTGTGCCCAATCATTGACTGTCATTATTCACTGACAGAATCCTTGACAGAAGCAGCTCACCTTAACCCCTCCCCCCATAAGGCTAAAATTATTAGGCGACTGGACTTACTACCCTTTGCATTCATTCAACTTTCCTTCTACTCTATCAGTTTTCAATGAATCTCTGAACTCACTGCGCTAATCAGAGTTTGTTGTCAAAATAAGGACAGCTTTCTATATGGTCATTTTCTCTGACGAAATCGCATCATTAATGTGCACGCATTTACCACTTGTTCCTTCAAGCTCGCTGATTGGTTGAGAATAGGTCAGCATGGTTTATTGCAGCTTGGGTCATAAATGCTTTAAGACCCAAGCTGCCAATAGCATCGGTCATGGGGACGGGGCTGCTAAACTCACTCCATCCTTTGCTTCTATATTATGGTAATATATGATAAAATCACCCCTGACCTGTCAAAAGCTAAAAATGTCATTTTTCAAATTTCCATTATTTTTTACATCTCCTAAGGAATAATATGACAAAACAAGAGTATATGACACAATTCTAAGCTCATTTGAGTTGCATACGTCTCATAATTAAGAAAAGTTCAAGGATAAATAAGCCCCCCCCCCAGGCCATCATAAGCTAAAATGAAAATTTCAAATTTTAAGAAATGTCCAATCATTTTCTACATCTTATTGGAGGTATTATGATTAAATAGAACTATATGCACCATCTTGAGCTAATTTGGGATACATGTATTACAAACCTTGAAAGTTATTAAGGTAAAATATGGTTACCCCTGGCCCTTCAGAAGCGATAATGAATTTTTTTTTTTTTTTTTTGAAAAGTTCCAATCATTTTTCAATCCAGTTAGGAATAATATGACAAAACAAGACTCAATGCACCATTTTGAGCTCATATGAGACCCATACATTGCATATCTTAAAAATTATTAAGGTAGAATAAGGTTACCCCTACGCCGCAAGGGCTTAAAAATTCAAATTTCGATAATTTTTATCTCAAAAAATACATGAGCTACCCAAGCCATATTCTATATTTGTGACGAACACTTATACCCCTATTAGTATGAATTTTTCCAAGATGATCAGACATCACATTCCTGAAATAGAGTACTTGATGTCCCATATTTGACCCTTTAAAAGATGAATTCACGCTAGATAATTGGGTCAAAATGCATTTTCCACACTAAACGCCACATCTACAATCGGTTTGTCTCAATTTCAAGGCTCAGAGCAATCACCAAATGAAGTCATTTAAAAAAATTTACTTCACAACCATTTTTATTTATTTTTTATAATGTACCCCCTCCTCGCCTGATAGGGGTTGGGGTCAGAGACTAAAAAATCCATGAAGACCACCCCGGATCACTTGCCCCGAAATCATTTTCCACTCAGATCAAGTGTTTCTACAACTGTGCCAAGTTTGTTGCTTTCCTGAAAAAGTCGAACTATAAAGGGCTCATTTCTGGACATCTGACTGCGCTAATAATATACAAATGTAACTAATTATTAGATCACTGTTATGTCAAGTTTATGATTAGTTAAACCGAGGTCATGTGACATCAAAGATCAGACCGAATATACACCTCCAATAGGCCACAGCTGGGTGTACAAAATTTCAATTAATCAATTTTCCCAACACAACACCAATCATAAAGTCAAGATACCTTTTTATTTTCAGCTGACTGGGTCTGTTTATCATCAACTCTGGGTATTGATTCCTCATCTGGTACTTTAATTGGCCTCGGAGCAAACAATGCCTCCTTGTCTTTACTCTGGTTGATTTCATCATGAAGTATTAACAACCACTCCTCAAGTGATGTCCATAGTAGTTCTAGGTGCTGGGGAGACAGTAAAATCATAATTGTATGAACTATATATTTCAGTCCTGTCTTTATCCCATTCATATTCGACAAAAATACCTTGGATAATACCCCAGCTGTTACTGAAAAATATCTTGAATATTGTCCAGCCTTTATTGGATAAATACCTTGAATATTGTCAAAGCCTTTATTGGATAAATACCTTGAATATTGTCCCAGCATTTACTGAAAAATATCTTGAATATTGCCCAGCCTTTATTGGATAAATACCTTGAATATTGCCTAGCCTTTATTGGATAAATACCTCGAATATTGCCCAGCCTTTATTGGATAAATACCTTGAATATTCTCCCAGCCTTCATCGGATAAATACCTTGAATATTGGATAAATACCGGTACCTTGAATATTGCCACAGCCTTTATTGGGTAAATACCTTGAATATTGTCACAGTCTTTATTGGATAAATACCTTGAATAATGGATAAATACCTTGAATATCACCCCAGCCTTTAGTGGATAAATACCTTGAATATTACCCCAGCCTTTAGTGGATAAATACCTTGAATATTGGATAAATACCTTGAATATTACCCCAGCCTTTAGTGGATAAATACCTTGAATATTGGATAAATACCTTGAATATTACCCCCGCCTTTAGTGGATAAATACCTTGAATATTGCCCAAGCCTTTGGTGGATATACCTTGAATATTGGATAAATACCTTGAATAATACCCCACCATTTAGTGGATAAATACCTTGAACAATGGATAAATACCTTGAATATTGCCCCAGCTTTTATTGAAGCCTTTGTGTTTCCACTGACTGCACATGTTCCATTTGTTCCAGTGGGCTGTGTAAGTTGACTCTCTTTGTACAAGTTGCACATAAACTTTGCACACCTTAGTAGGCTTTTCACCTGATATGGCACATTACTGGACACACTGAAATACAGGGGAACACACATAAACTTTGCACACCTCAGTAGGCTTTTCACCTGATATGGCACATTACTGGACACACTGAAATACAGGGGAACACACATAAACTTTGCACACCTTAGTAGGCTTTTCACCTGATATGGCACATTGCTGGACACACTGAAATACAGGGGTAAACACATAAACTTTGCACACCTTAGTAGGCTTTTCACCTGATATGGCACATTGCTGGACACACTGAAATACAGGGGTACACACATAAACTTTGCACACCTTAGTAGGCATTTCACCTGATATGGCACATTGCTGGACACACTGAAATACAGGGGTACACGCATAAACTTTGCACACCTCAGTAGGCATTTCACCTGATATGGCACATTGCTGGACACACTGAAATACAGGGGTACACACATAAACTTTGCACACCTCAGTAGGCATTTCACCTGATATGGCACATTGCTGGACACACTGAAATACAGGGGTACACACATAAACTTTGCACACCTTAGTAAGCTTTTCACCTGATTTTGCACATTGCTGGACACACTGAAATACAGGGGTAGACACATAAACGTTTAAGCATTAAGGTCTCTATGAATCAGGATTTAAATATCATTACAACTGTATCAACACAACCTATTAATGTGATCTTGACCTTTAATATAGCATGACATGACCTAGACACTTAAGTATCCTTCCTTCACAAGTCAAATGAGATAGCTAATTAAAATGTGAAAATGATAAGAGATGAGTGATTTCTTTAACTATAACTTAAGATTGGTCCTTTTACAGGCTTCACTACTAACATCACTAGCAGTCTCCAAAAGTTAGCCAAATAGATGCACATTAGGTTACAGTAGCAATTACCTTAACAATTTGTGTCCTATATAAACTGCTTGTTGACCCAGTCCTATGAGTATATCTGCACACATGGTTTGGTTCTTCTTCCTCAAGTAACTTAATACCTTGTAGAACTGCAACAATATTAACATAAAAATGGTCCTGTAAGCGTTTTGCACCAGAGTGAGAATATACATTTGAGGAGCAGTACCAATAGTGAGTAGATTTTGGATGACATTTTTAGAAACATGCTTGTAAAATGTAAGTCAAAAAACAAGTTTGCCCACTTTTGCATAACTGTAGAGTGAATACAGTTCATAGTTGTTGATGCATATGTAAAAACTGTATTCAATAGATGTCTCTAGTCATGCTCATCCATCCCATTATTTATTCAAATATGTTAAAATAAAGTTTTATGTTTATCAATCATTCTAACTTATCTGAGTTATTCAAGGTTTGAAATCTATCAGAACCATGACCAATATACGTCAATCTCCAAGCAAAAAGCACCAAACATCATCCTTTTATTTCCTTTTTTGAGGATAAGATGTTTAGCACCCTGCACTTGGAGGATGCAATTACCTCTGTTTCTGCTAAGTCATCCTTCTGCACCATGGTGATTAGGGACTCAAATAATGTTGGTATCTGTTCAAGTAACATTTCACATGTTTCACTGTAACCACCCTAAAAACATAAAATATAATGTACAAGCATATGTAAATATTATTAAGTCAACATGCTGTGGCAGTAAAAAGTTAAAAAGAAAACTTGCACTTCAGATTATGTGATATACTGGAGCAGTTTTCAATAGCTTTAACTCCTTGCATAGTGCATGCAGAAGTGAAAGAGTCAAAAATAAATTATGTTTTTTCTATAAAATAGCTTCATTCTCATCTTCCATTCTCGTCAACTTCCAGATATTAGAAAATTTGATTATGGAATAATGTTAACATATTTAGTTACATTTAAAGCCAGCACCCACCTGTACAGAGAGCTCCAGGGGTGTTGCATTGCTCCCATCAGGCACAAACTTTGCACCCCTCGATAGTAGTATCATCGCAGTGTCCCTCTGTCCATGGCTATAATTAAGATGTTCAGATTTCAGTTTTTGGAGACTCAATATGCAAACATACACATTTGTCGCTTATTTTGATGCACTGTACAAAAATTTCCAAGCCTTAGATTTTAAGGATGCAAAATTTCATGAGCAAACTTCTATTGAATATTTTTCTACAGTTCACCAAAGTATGCAACAAAAACATGTGTGGGGTACGATGTAATGAACATATTTCATCAAAATATATTTTGGATTGTGATATTGATCAGCTAATTGGCAAGAGGAGGGCGGTATAAGAAATTGCCTCATTATGAGTTAAATCATAGTTTTTTGTTTGTTCATTGAGATGTTACTTCTTGTGCACGAAAAATTTGATTTTTTAATTATTTTCACATTCTTTTTTAAAAAAACTCGCACCTGCATGCAAAGTGTAAAGGTGACGACTTTTGGTAGTTACATAAGTCCACATTTGCTCCGTTATCAATGAGGCATGTTACAGTAGATTTGTGACCATTCTGTGATGCAACATGTAACGCTGTCTGACCTTGGGCATCCTGGAGGAATAAATTGGAATTGATACAATCGTAGTAATACACTTGGGAATTGATCCAAATATGTTTATACACTCGGGGAACAAGTCCATAATATTGGAGTTGAGTTTTATGAAATAAAAACAAAAGAGAGGGGCCAATTCAATTGCTGTAGATGTTCACAACAAGGCTTCCAGTATATGATAAACAAATATTTATTAAAAAAAGAAAAAAAAGTTTATTCTCGAGATGTTATTTTTCATTGAGGTTGACCTCAAAATATAAGTGTTCATTGGGATAACTCCAACCTCAAAATGGAGTTGCTACTACAAAATGGTGATGTACATTGGCATTCATTTCCTTTTGGCATTTTTTTGAGATTTTTCAACAAATTAAATTTCAACAGAACATATCGCATAATTCACTGGTCACTCAAGGTTAAAGTTTTAGACCAACCTTTGATGGTTTTTAAAATTAAGAGTTAGAAGATGAATCACTCATGGATACATTCCATGTACGTTTACATACCTCAACATCCACATTATGCACATATTGTAATAGATCATGAAGCATCTCGGTGCGTCCATTCACAGCCAACCAATGGATCTGAAAATTAGATACATCATATTCACTTAGCATAAAGTGGTGCAGTGCTAATCAGCAAATGCAGTATGTCAAAAGCAAAGAACATATGAAATAATAACAATACAAAACTAAATGGAAATCAGTTATTTTGTGTTTTCACTTGACTGGTTCAGTACAAGTAAATGACACATTGATTTACGGAAAACTCAATGATGGTTTACTGTATAACATATTTAATTCAAAACATACAATATTTTTACTAATCAATGTAACTCCCAATGATTTAAATGCTAAAAATGCTAATTAGCATCAAATGATTTAAGGCCCGGTCACACCGCCCGGACGTTGCTGGAGCGTTCCTTGAACGTTGAAAAAATTCATCAACGCTCGTCAACGCGCACAAAATGGGGAAAAAAACAAAAACACGGGCGTTGGCTTAGCGGTGCACCGCTGAAGCCCGCGTTGCTTTAGCGTTGGTTAAGCGGTTGCGAGCGGTAGCTAGCGTTTGTTTAGCGGTAATGCGAGCGTTGGTATAGCGGCGTTCTGCGCATGAGAGCGTTGCCTCGGCGGGGGTATAAATAGCAGCAGGGTTGGTTTAGCAGCATATCGCGTTTGACTACTGGGAAATTATTTCAAGTGGGAAGTGTTTAAGAGTAAAGACCTTTATTGGAATTTGTAACTTTAACAAAAGTCCTTCAAGGATTAAAAAAGAAATGTTTTAAATCCAAAGTGCTTCTATTAATGTAATATGACATTAAGAATGAATAACATTACAATTTTCATTAATAATCTCTCATATCATTTCAAACAAACATATCACAATTTAATCGTTGCATTTCCATTACTTGGAACCGATTTACGTTCAAATTGCTTTAACAATGTCAAATAACATATACAGCAAAGTAATAATCATGACGCATGACAAATTTTTGCATTGCTGTGCGCGCATCAACTTTTTGTATAATACCATGACGAGTGCAACATTTTACAAGCTGCGCAGAAAATTCACAGATAATTTATTGAATTGCTTGACGTGAAAACACTAGATATATACTATATTTGAATAAAGGTCTCAGTAAAAGTCTATTTGTATTAACATATAATGAAAAACAAAAATCGCATAATTCACCTTTTTATAATCCAAAATCAGAAACTTTGAGCGCTTAATTTAGGAATTTACAATGCAAAAAATTGAAATGCCAGACATGAATATATATCAAATGTAAAACGCACAAGTGTCTCCACAGTGTTCTACACAGTGGTGCATTTCTCCACGTATTTATAGCCAAATTCTGGTCCCGCTCCGACACCTCTATACCAACGCCAAAGCAAAGTTCATCGCCGCCATGGAACGCTGAGATAACGTCCGACACCGTTTCCAACAACCCCATGTACGCTGATAAAACGCTAACAACCGCTCCACCGACGTTTGTGCAACGTTTAATCGCCGCCCGGGCAACACTGGCGAAACAGCGGTGGTCCAGCGTTTAAGATTTCTGCGTTGGTCTAGCGGATTCAAGCGTCCACGAACTTGCGTCTAGCGGTGCCAAACTTTGACTGGGCGTTGGTGGAGCGGTGATAAACTTTGCCAGGGCGTAAAATTGTCCCTTTTTCAACGCTCGCAATATTTTGAGCAGCTCAAAACTTTTGGAGCGTTAGGATGGCCACTCGAGAAACATCCGCGTTGGCCGAGCGTTTACAGCGTTGCTTTAACGGATGCCAACTTTTGTTAAACGGTGGTGAACGTTTACGAGCGTTGATGATTTTTTTCAACGTTCAAGGAACGCTCCAGCAACGTTTAGGCGGTGTGACCGGGCCTTTAATGGAGTAAATTGCAATAAGGGAGCATTGGTCAATGCGGTTACGTTCCAAGTCCACTTATGATTTCATTGAAGCAAGCCATTTATCAAAAGCTGACCACATTCAAACTATAACTGACTGTTCAAGAATGATAACATCTCAATAACTTCCTGCACTTTCTAACCCATGGTGGAATTCACAAATTCACCCATTTACATGCAAAACTAAGATGGCATCAAAATTGACGCAACACAATAATCCATCTATAATTGTATTTTTCTTACTATTGTCAGGCCCTCATTGCTTTTTATGTTCACATCAGATTTATATTCCAGCAGCTTGTTCAAACATTTCTTCTGTCTGAAAAATTCAAAATCATAATATATGAAACATTTAAACATATAAATAAAGCGTATCATATCATGATTTGTATACATATACAAACATAAAATTATCTTGCCCAGTTTATTGTATTGTATTCATTCCAATATCATGATGACATAGCACATATTGTAAACAATTGTAGATTTTCACTGGGCCTCTATAAGTAAGACCACTTTTTGTCCTGATGGAGCTTCCCAGAATAAATATAGTTTGCAAATCAAATCCAATCAAGGAAACAAGGCATTAACATACAAAATGTCACCAACTGCCATTTGTAACAGATGTGGAATGCCAGACACTAACCGACAAACACCATCCGAAAAAAAGTTGCACTATAATAATATGTGACCAATTTTGGTGTTGGGATAAAAATGAATTATAATCGCTATTCATCTTTTAAATTCTCCTACCCATTTCTTGCGGCCAAGTGTAGAGGGGTGCACCCAGACATATCCTGCTTGTTCACATCTCCTCCTTTCTTCAGCAACAAACACAAGCACTCATAGGAGCCACAGCTGCATATACAAAAATAATTCAAATTTGAAAGAATACCTTTTACTGCAGTGTTAATAAAATGAGGAGAATTTTCAAATGCATTTTCAAATAAAACAAGACTTTGAAAACTATGGTAATATGCCATTGTCTATCTCTGATTTTTTAAATTAAATTTCTCATATGGTATGGACTAGGAACTTACTTTGCAGCCAGGGGCGGATCTGGGAACCAACAAGGGGAGGGGGCCCAAATTTCAGGTCAAAGAAAAAAACTTTGGAAAAAAGTTTGAAATTTTGAGGCCCATATTCTTCAAAATTTGGCCCAGTAATGACCAAAAAGGCCCACTTTTTGGGGCCTTTTTTGCTAAAATCCCAATTTCTTTTTCTAGGCCCACCCAAGGGGGGGGGGTATGAGGTTTCTCATTGGATGGACTTACTTTGCAGCTATGTGTATGAGGTTTCTCTTTGCTCTGCCAGCCCCATAATCGGGAGAATAGTCTGTGTTGGCCAGCAAGTCAGCTACAGATCTAAATAAGATGAAATATGTAGATAGTTTAAGGTGAGAGCGTTTCTTATTTGAAATAAGATCTGTCAAGTTGCTTATGGTTTACACATAAGCACAACGTTTTTTGAATTTCTATATTTTCAAGAATATAAAGTTCTATATGAGAGTGTATTAAATTCATTTAAGGATCGGAGTTAAAGTACTTGCACCTGTAAACATTATATTATGATTAAATGAGTAACTTGTACAAAATAACAAGTCAAGGATAAAGCCACCTTGAATGAATCATTTAAAATGTAAAGGATCTTCAGATGAACATTTTAAACATGATTCTTTTCTTGGCTGTTTCATCTGTAATATTGTCAATTCAATGCACAATGATGGAAATATAATCAGCTTGAATAGATTTTTAACCAGATAATCCTGCAGTGTTGTCATGTTTAACCTTGTATCTTATATTATGTTAGAAATATGTACCTGTGCTGGTTTGCTATCACCATGGGCATCAGAACAAAGAATGCAGAGTTAGCATCTGAAATATAAGCAGATAGTTTAGAATATTGGGACATTAGATACATTGATATTGGTATGAAATTGTTGCTGGGACAAGCAAAAAGTGTTCAGATTGGCAGGTGTTCAGATTGGCAGGTATTCACATTCAAAGGTTTTCAGCATGGAAGTCTATGATCGATTAAAAAATGTGACTGAAAAAATCAGGTTTAAATGTAGTTTCTATGGGACAATGCAATTGAAAAATGAATGGTGTATTTATTTCATACTAAGCTGCTCAGACCATATACTCCATATGATACAGTATGAGTACTTATAAGAACATTTTATGTATTACTGGGATGTCTATTTCTCAGAGAAAATTACTCATGTCCAGTATGAAGATGAGACGGACTGTAAATTAAAATATCAAACAGAGCAAAGAAAATCATAATTATTAATACAGGTTGATATCTTATCACGACATTCAGTTAAAAACACAAAAGAAGGGATAATCTATACATGTCTTTCAAGCCCAATATCCAGGATACACTCACTCTACATGAGGTAGAATGTCTATGAGTAAGTTTTCTTCTACTACCTCTGATATAAACTGAACCTTATATATTAGATTATATATAACATACCTGTAGGAAGTTGAACTGTCCTGGCACTCTTAAGTGATCTTGCCAAATGTTGTATGAACTCCATTATATTGCACGATTGTCCCTTTGAATTCTGCCTAGTTCTGCAAAACATCAAATCACTCCTTAGGGCACTACTCATGTACCATACACTGTCATTTTATTCTTGAATGACTGTGTAAGAGTAAGCTAGTAAATCAACAAGATGGAGCCCTTGTGTTCCTTATGGTCAATATTGCCATGTAAAAAAGTATATAAGGTACAAATATATATGTACTTTTATGCCTTATGCTGTATATCTGTATGTACATGAGCAGCTACATGTATATGTGCGGCTACATACACATGTCACAGTAAAGGATCATTGATATAGAATGTCTGAAGAAGTAATGTTCTATTCTTGTGATATACTGTGCTGACTTCACACAATTCAATCAATATGCATTCCTCATGAAGGCTAGCATAATGATATTAGGTGACTCAACCCAATTTTACTTGATATATACCAGATGAGCTATTTATAAAACATGACTCATCCATCTGCATCAGCTGGCATTCTGCATAAATCTTCTTCTTCTTCTATTACAGTACAGACTCCTCTTGAGGCAATTTCTTGAGTAGAAGAATTATACTTAAAATACATGCTATAAGAAAGCACAAAGAATCATTTAAATATTTGTACAGGTAGTACTGTTTGGCTCAAAACAGACAAATGACTTACATTTTGATTTACTCACTCTATTATCACCCACAATCATGAAAAATATTTTTATCATCTTCTTTTCAAGTCATATAATCCACCTTATACAAAAAACGGATTTAAAACATAGTGAAAAAGTATATTGTTTCAGAAATACCTTATTGACATTAAATTACGACCCCATCACTAAGCATACTTCGAAATTAGTCGAAATATTTTACTTCCTTGGCCGCCATTGACCTTGTAGCAGTTTCGTCCGGTGTAGAATTTGATAAAATGGTACGCGTACAATCTATAAATACAATTTGATTTTTGGTGTCTTTTTACTCAAAAATACACAAATGTAGGTCGAATGTTTTCATATTGTGCTACATTTGCTACATTTCTTGTACCAAAAATGTCTAATTTGTTTAATGATTTGAGTTGAATGTAAGGTGAAATCACGTACGCACCATTTTGTTGACAGTGTATTTTCTCGTTGCTAGTTGCAACAACAGGTGTTTCAAAATGGAGTCAAGCAGGTAAATAATTCAGGTGTGATATCAATTATTAATTTACCTGTTATTGGAATTTATAATCAATGTTTTGAAGTATTTTAAATGTCATTAAACTTTGTGAACCTTTCCAATCACTGCAATTTTGAGAAAATCGAAGTTTAAGGATCTATTCAGGCATAAAAATTAATTGGAATGGTAGGCTGCTATTAGTACATGTATCCAACAGGCTGACTAAGTACAGGATATAGTCTAAGGCTGCTATAGTTAAATAAGTTTAAAGTGAGACTAGTCCCAGTAATGGGTAGAAAGTGTACATCCTACATGGTACTATTATGGTTGTTTGATAATAATATTTATTCTTAATTTCAGTTGAAACGACAATTCTGAAGAACGTCTCATTTTAAAAGTTGATTGTACCAGCTGCCAAGATGGTGGACTTTATGTCCCGTTATCGTTTATATGGGTTTGGTTATTCCATTCCATCTCCCCGACGCACAATGGCATCAACCAACAGGGATTTATATAGGCTGACAGAGCCCCATCTATTTTCTACCCCGAGAGTAAAAGGTGATTAATATATACATTAACATCATGTTATATTTGTTCACTCTCAGCAAATGCTTTTTTATCCTTTGGAAAAGACATTACATTGATTCATTGAATATTAAATCAATTAGACAAATATTGTTATAGCCCCCTAGCCTGCCTTGGCTTCTCATAACATTGACTATGAGATAATTTTCCTGTAGTGAAAATGTATATCTGTTTAATACACAGACAGAATTAGTACTTGAAATTTAAAAAAAATCATTGTTTATTCATGAAATAAAATCAATTTTAGCTATAATCAAAATATTCTTCATAACTCTTTTTTCAAAGTTTTGAATTTATGATATGCGCTATTGTATGATAACCTCTTCAAACTGTTTTTCAGTCCATGACTGCCGGGAACAAGCTATGAAAGAGTTAACAGACCAGTTCACATGGGAAACATTCCTGTTGTCAAAAGGTGTACGACAGGCAAATGACAGTGTGACATCATTACACAGCAAAGCAAGAGATGAAACTAAAGATGGAATTAAAAAGTAATTATCAAAACAATTTAATAAATCACTAGTGAATTTTCAATTATTCAGCTCAATAAATGTTGTTAAATGTCACAAACAGAAATCAGTCATCAATTAGTCTTTTTCGTTTATTATGGTTTCTAAATTCAGTTCATTGTGTGTTTTTAAATGCCGCCATTTGTTTTTCAACAATGTTCCATGCTCACTATGATGTCATTTATTGATTCATGATGTACATTTGTTGGTTAATTAATGTAAATTATATTTAAGGCCAGAGAAGTTACTATTTGATGTGGGGAGGAGAGGGACAGCTGCAGGAGATCTCAATTGGCCCAGGGGGATGACTGTTAACCCCCACACTGCTGAAATTATAATAGCTGACACTATGAACCACAGAATTCAGATCTTTAACCAATTCGGAGTTTATAAAACCAAGATTGGGCATAAAGGCCTCAGCAATGGTTGTTTCAATGAGCCAACAGGTGTTGGCGTGTGTCCAGATGGCCGTATCGTCATTGCAGATAAGAAGAATAGGAGAATCCAAGTACTCGGGGAAGATGGTAGATTCAAATATTCCTTCCCAACTATAGACCAGCCTTTCTCTGTAACTGTAGATACTGACTTTAATGTTGCCATAGCAACTGTTGCTAGGAGTATTGAACTTTATCGCCGTGGGGGAAAACTGTTGAAGAGATTTGAACTTGGAGGTAGTGGTAGATCTCCCGTTTATATTGCCTTTAATGACAAGCGGGAAGTTGTGATAAGTGATACAAAAGACCATGTCATTAAGTTTTATAATTATGAAGGAGAATTGCTCTATAAGTTTACGCCGGAATCGACTGGAGAAAGCCTGGCGTGTCACCCAGCTGGAGTTTGGATACACAATGGAGATATTGTAATTGCTGATAATCTTAACCATACAATCAATTTGTACTCTGAGAGAGGTAGGGTGATCAGTCAGTTGGCAGGCCCCACTGATGACGTTGGAGCTGCCCAGACTGTCGCAGTTGGCCCAGAAGGGCATCTCATCATGACAGAGTTTACAACAAATGGACGACATTGTATAAAGATATTGCGCTATCTTGATTGTGACTGTCACAAAACCAGACCTGGGTCAAGTAAAAGGAGATCTAGGCCAGGCTCTAGAAATGCTGCGTCCTCACTCTCTTTTGCTGGGAAATGATAATGCTCTCAGTATAGTAAGACATATTATAATGTGAGAGCATGTAAGATCTGCCAAAACAGGTTTACATCCAGGGGTCAACCCATAAAGGCATTTAATGAAAATGTGGCTTATTAAGAAATACTCATATCTGGGACCAACAATCCCTTTTATTTTAGATACTCGATACTCAGATTTAACAAAAAATGTAAATAACAATGGCTTATGACAAAATACTCAACACTTCAGTTTGATACATGTACTTTTATACGTATATAACTTTTTTGGATTTTCGGTGTTGGTTTTTACAGCACTGCAAATATCCATGGTGCCATTCACAAGTTGCAATGTTATAACAAATGATACACTTATTGTGATTGTTCAAATGTGTAATTTTGTGTCAAGCCATCCCTCCCCCGTTCCCCATATACAGGTTTATCTGTTTATGGATCTGCTATACACATGTGATTAATATGTTGCAAGGATATTCCACAGCTGAAGTTCTAAATAATGATATGTTATGATTTTATATCTAGAATTGCATGCATACAATTCATAACACATAAAAGTATTGTGTAATTTCTAAAACAAATTCTTCACTGGAACTTTAGCATGTAACAGAGAGATTGTCCTTGTAACCCTCTCAGGACTTTTGTTATAGTTGGGGGATCTCAGGCTTGATACAGGACTATTGTTTATAAAAGATGTACAGTAAAACCTGTCTAAGTGGAACACCTTTGGAACCTCGTCTAAAAGGGTTCGACTTGGGAGATGTTCCACCTATAAAGGCTCATTTAGCATTAAGTCAGTTGGTCTTGGGACTCTAAAGAATGTTCCACTAACAAAGGTGTTCCACTTCTAGAGGTGTTCCACTTTACAGGTTCCCCTGCACTCACTTTCAGTCTGTGATAAATGTGAGAGGTTGCATGTACTGCTTACATGTAGTGATGAATAATGAATAGACTATTTTTGAATTTATTCAACCACATAAAAGATTCATATTTTTGGTTTGTGAACTAAAAGAGATTGTGGTATAGTTAATGCAGGATACATGTCTTAATGCATAGAAATGAATTAGATTACATCCCATTAAGCATGTAAACAGGGGTTATTCTTGGATTGAAATGGGTATTTTTCTATTCTTTCAAAATATGCAATGTTTGAGAATTGATCATGATAAAAATAAAGTCTAATTGCTACAGGCCCTTGTGCCCTCCCCCCCCCCATTTACACCTCACCTTGAGGTGAAGTCGAGAGGAGGTGGTCCAGAAACTTGGTGCAAGACTAGAATGGTAAAATGAAAGTAAACTCAAAGTATCTCTTGAAACATGTTTACAATTGATGATCAATTGATGTACATGACTTGAATTTTTAATAATGTTGGTGTTATGCTGTTTAAAATGTCAGTGCAAAGAAATATGATTTATCAGCACTATAATTACTGTAATACTGTGTACCTTGCTCAATATTGTATAATAAAATACATGTAAAAAATATAGACATTATTAATCTATTTTATGGTGAGTTTCCGCTTATAATTTACTGGGGGTATTCCCCTTCCAAAATATGACCTGAGTACCAGGAATACGTTATGAACTATATAAAAGTGCACAAAGTATAGTGAGTATTGTGTAGTATTTGGAAAGGATTATCAAACTATAAACAGGGGCCGCTCCCCCCCCGGCAAAAACTCCCGCCTTGGTAAAACTGCCGCCCCCCACTAGGTAAATTCTGGCTACGGGCCTGATAAATGTACACCTTTGCACATCATTATGGATGAAAACGATTGGTCAGGTATAACATAAAAAATACTATTTAATATTTTGCACTACTCTATTCCCTTGCCTCAAAATATGACTATAACAAACAAGTATATAGAATTCAAAGACAACAAATATCGTATATTACCTATCTTGAGCCTCCACCTCCCAATACGTTTTACACCACCACCCCCCCCCCCCCTCTCTCAATACGTCTTCACAATCATTGAAATGCAGATTGCTTCATATGGAACAAATTAGAGATATGGAATATCTGACTGTAACCATTGTAACATGATGAGGTAACAAAAGCCAAAGACGGTATGTGCATTTTGTTCTTAACAATTCCATCTCCCGTTTTTCGGGAAACAGTCCTGATTTTATTTCGTAACAGATGCTTTCATCTTTGGCAACTTTGGATGACCCGTTCCATTTCTGCATTTTAAGAACTTTAAAAGTTAATCAGGAACTTCAATATTCTCTCACATTATAAACAATCTATCACTGCCATTTGAAACATTCCATTTAGGATTTTCAGTCTCTTTTTTAGAGGTTCATGCAAGAAGGCACGGGAGTTTTCACACGTACGCATTCATCATTTAAATTCATTTACCACAGACACTATTATTCTAACAGAGAAATGTTGGGGTGTAATTAATAGCTTGAGTTTCCATCTGAATTATGTGGCATATTGTACATTACCACTTGGTGCAAGATTATTTCCAAAAATCTGCAACTGAATACAAGACCCACTGCACCCGGCAATGTAATGTTAGGATTAAGTTCAACACTTACCTGTTTGAAAATGTAATAATTAAAATGAGCCAAAGCAATAGGATGTACAGTTTGAAAAACATGGGGAACAACCCACTATAGCACCAACATCCTAGTGCAACCTGACATCATTTCATCTAAATACGATATACCTTAGGGGTGGACCAATAGTTATCATTCTGGTACCCTACTTGGAATTCTCGGTAAAAATACCAAAATAATTTTTATCATTACAAAAACTTGAGATCATCTGGGTGTTTTCTTCAGGAAACAATACATATCCCACAGATCAAAAGAACCATCCATATGTCACCGGGACATTGTGTCACGCCCCTCAGACAGCAAGTATTCTGGATGTGTCAGAGTCAATCAAAGAGGATTGGAACCCTGGGAGCCAATCCTCCAGATTTCCTCTATTTTATTTTTGGGGTTCCCTTTCTTTTTTTCCTAAATTGTTGAGGTACGTGTGCCGGTGGTCCTAGGGTTCTGGGAAATACACCCTCCTTTCAGAAAATATTATAATTTGGGGAATTTTTAAATGATTTTCGGGCACTTCTGATGGGTGTTTGAGTCATTCAAAATATTGAATATTGAAGTTTTTTGCAGGGTTGCCATGGGGTAAAGAGGATGCATTGTATCAAGCAAATTTTAGTATTTTAAAAAACTATTTTTTCTGGGAGTTTGCATCTTCGTTCACTCGACTCCCGTCGGATAAACGCAGTGAAGACCGGAGCGTGCGAAGATGGGGAGTTTGTTGAGAGTTGATAAAGAATTATTTGAAAGTCATGTTTAGGGCTTGACAGAGGTTTTAGGGGTAAAAAGGACGTCCCTCTTCAGAATTTTATTTCTCTTAGGGATGTCAGAGAAAGTGATGAGGATATTTGTTACTTTGTTTGAAAAAAAACATTTTATATAATTTGATCAATGAAACAAGCCAAGTTTGTTCAAACGAATAAATCAGATGTGCTGCATTTTGTTGGTGAGCGTTGCATGGCTATGATAGCGATATGATAGCAAACGATATTGGATATCATATGTCTTTAGCAACAAATATGTCTCAGTCTTTCATCTAGCTTCAAAGTAATCAAATATGCATTCGCCGTAAAAATTAAAAAACAGTTAGTCTGTAGGAAAAACAACAAGTAAAAGATCAAGCTCTATTTTAGACTATCACCTTAAGACATTGTGCTTATTTGCTTTAACTTGTTTATTTCTTCCTTTTCCAAAAGTTTGATTTTGCTTTTTCTAGGAAAGCTTCATATATATTATCTATTAATAGGGTTTTACTCAGGGTATGGCCATTCTTCCCTAACATAACTCCAACCTCGGACTTTTTAAAATGGAACCTCACACTGAGTCACCCTCAAAATCATTACATGCAATTTTATTGATCCGAGACCAAAGCTCTCATAGTAATTAAAAATCAAATATGGTGATAACAGCCACCAGATGATACATAGAAACCCCTGGACAACCTCAAATCATCTCATCTCTGCTTTAAGATCAACAATGAATATCGTATTTTTCTTTATTGTGATTCATGAAGAGGATAACCTTTGCTTATTGATCTGCGATGTTTATGATTTTACCTGGTGCCTACGTGACGGAGATCTGTTGCTAAAAATTGCATCTAGGCCGTGTAGGCTTAATATTGATATAAACATATTGCAGTTGGAAGTACAATTCAGGATATAAAATTAATATTACACACATCCTTTTCAAAAAGTAGTGTTATTTCCGCGTATTGATCATCCTTTCTGTTTGTAAACACGAGCACGTGGCCGTCTGATGACACGCCCCGGAAGTTAAAACTGTTTGAAGTAAACAATACCACGTGATCTGATATCAACAATACCACGTGGCTACTGAATATTTTGTGCCCTGGATAGCGTTGTTTTTCATTTCTGCAGGAGCAGTCGGTTGACAAAGACGTTGTTTTTTGCGCATTTTTCTTGCTAAAACACGAGTTTAAATTAACATACAAAATGGTCGGGAAGGATGATGGAGACGAGAGGGTAGTCCTCATCCCGGTGACAAACAACAGCATCTCTGAAAAGGCGTTTGATTGTAAGTAAACTTAACAATATATGAAACATATGATTTTTAGTGACCTGGATTTTGTTCTTTGTTTTATTTCCCCACAGATTCACAACACGTGCATACTATTTCAGGTATACTATTTTAGATCATCATCAGTGAATTATAACGTTTACTGGTGGTGTTATGCATGACTGAGTTTTGTATTTAGTCATGCAAAACATGTTTATTTTTGAATTGTACAGAGAAAGTCTAATGTATCAAATTTTCCATGATGACCTACATTTTTGCAAACCTTCTTTCCAAGCCCTGTTGATTAAAATTCAGATGATGATTTCTAATACTTGTATGCATAAACTGACCTTGAAAAAGATGATTTATTTCATTATAGACCTTCATAAACAACTTGTAAACAAAGAAATGAAAAATGTTATATGAGGTTGCCTTGGTTTCTAGCTTTCAGGTACACTCAACATTTACATAATATCAGCCAACGATGAAGGTGTGCTCCTATATGAGGGATATGACCCAGACAGTTCCTATCTAAGTAAAAAGAGCATTGCACTTTGGAATGGCATCTAAAATATACATGTTTTATCATCTCTATTCTACTGTATGTTTCTCAGTGATATTGTAACATTTATAGTCTTGTTTACATCAAGCTGTGTATGCTGAATGTGTTTATTGAATTTAAAGTTGATTTTTAAAACAACTAAATGATAAGATATTCTCAATGATAACTTCCCCATCATGAGATGCCTTGGAGCATGGTATGGTGTAAATGAGGAAGACATGAAAATGATGCCATTGTTTATAACTGTTAAACATCTGCAGCTGTTTGGATGTAAGTTACAGAGTAAAATGATCTCAGTTCAGTCTGTGCTTTCATGATGGATAGAGAAACAATAGAACTGGGGGGAAGACCTAATATGTTTATTCCTTTCTCAACCGAAGTGTTTTGTACTAAAAAATCTGATCAAATATCAAAATCTTTTCCTTTCCAATGGTGGTACAAAAACTGTCGTTCTCCCCGATTGTCTCGAGGTTTTGTGTAGGTTTCACTAATTTAATGGTCCAGTTTTAAAGAATCTGTCCACAAACCTAACTGTCTCAAAAACATAGCTATGTGGATGTTTGCAAACTGAGAGCTGTGTGTACATGTTTGAGTGCATGAACATGAAAATGTCTTGTCTGAAATGTTTTTTTTTTAAATTCCAGATGTCAATCACCCTAGGGCAGAGTAAGGTATATGTGTATGACTCATCCCAGAATTCCAGGCATTGTTATTGTCTTATCCTACTTCATTGCAAATTGAAATCATTAATGTAAAAGGTGTCCATTATATAAGCACCAAGCCCCCCCCTCCCCCCCCCCTAAAGGTTATTTATACATGGTGCTGTTCAGTTTTTAATGTTTGACTGAACAGTGATATGGGTCATAATGGCTGCCTTGTGATATTTAAAAGTTCATAAAACATTGCAAACATCTGCTATGTTTTCATGAATATTCAATTATCGGAGTTGTGCATATGAGTCCCAACTTGTTTTTGAAATTATCTGAAACATGGTCAATAACATGAAAATAATCGATCGAAAAAAGTTGAATATTGACATTTTGATGAATGTTCTGTTTACAGTTGTCCCTGAATCTGGAGTGTGTCTGCAGTTGGTCTATTTATGGTCCAACATTTGATGGACTATTTGCCTAACCATTTCGCTTTTTTATATTTACTTACTGTGTTTTTTGTTTATATAACATCCTTGGCGCATGTATGATACTTAAATTAATAGGTAAATTGACCCAGAATGACACTGTTTACCACTTTTGCCACTTATTGATTGATTGATTTATTCAACAATAATGGCCTCCATACAACCTTGTACTAAACACTCAATGTCTGATATTCAGTCACAAAATGTAAACAATGCCACATGATTGTTTTTGTTTTTTTCTTTGGACTGGTGTTTTTTATCGCACTTTAAAGTGCTATATTGTCGCCGTCTTGTGCTGTTGGGCGGGTGGGCGTGCGGGCGGGCGGGACATAAACCAAATCTTGTCATCAAATTTCCAGGATAACTGCTTACCTGTTCAACTTGAAATTTTACAGATGCAAGAGCAGACTAGTACCAAGATCTGATTAGGTTAAGAGCATGCTGGGTAAACTATGTGGCGGCCATTTTGAATTTTTCAACAAATCTTGTCATCAAAATTCCAGGAAAACCACTTATCCGTTCAACTTGAAATTTTTACAGATGCAAGAGCAGACTATTGCCAAGATCTGGTTAGGTTTTGGGTATGCTGGCTGAATTACATAGTGGCCATTTTGAATTTTTCAATTTGGTGGCCATTTTGAATTTTTCAACTTGCTCCAAATTGACCAATTTTTTTTTTAAAAAACATCTACAAGTTCTCAGAAGTTCAAATCTGATTTCAGATTTGACCTTTCATTCAACTTCAGTGACCTTGAAAAGGTCAAAAAAGTTGATTTTCTAAATTGATATTTTGGATTTAAATTTAGGTCAGCTTAATTACAAAACACCTACTGAGGTCTGAAAAAGTAAAATTTTCAAGGTCGAAGGTCAAGGTCATTAAACTAGGTCACAAATGATGTTATCCAAGTTTCTCAAAGTTTGAGACTACAGGGCTGTCAACTTGGGACCACCTAATATGAGTGACTTCAAAATGTTGGACACCTAAGTCCAAATCTGAACACTTTTGTCCAAATTTTGAACACCTTTGGCCAACTTTTAAACACCTTTGGCCAAAGTTTGAGCACCTTTGCCAAACTTTGAACACCTCAAATTTTTCGCGCTCGCTACGCTCGCAAATTCGTCAACGGGGGGGGGGGGGGGGGGGGGGGGGGGGGGGGGGGGAGGTACGAAAAATTTCCAATGAACATGCGTGACACATACAGGATTCGCGTGACAAATCCGAACAAATTGCGTTCGGTTTTTTCCGGCGTTCGTATTTTTACCGTATCGTAAACATCTTTCGAAAAAATTTCTACAAAAATATTTTTGCGTGACAATTACCAGGTAAAATGCGTATTTTGCGTGACATTATCTGTCACGCAAAAAAAAATGGCGTGACTTCAAATTCTTCAGCAAATGCGTGACAAATACGCAAATTGCGGGACAGTTGACAGGCCTGAGACTACAAATCAATTCCTGTCATCAAAATTCCAAGAAAACCGCTAACCTGTTCAACTTGAAATTTTTACACATGCAATAGCAGACTAGTGCCAAGATCTGATTAGCTTTAGGGCATAATGGGTAAACTACGTGGCAGCCATTTAGAATTTTTCAACAAATCTTGTCATCAAAATTCCAGGAAAACCACTTATCCGTTCAACTTGAAACTTTTACAGATGCAAGAGCAGACTATTGCCAAGATCTGATTAGGTTTTGGGTATGCTGGCTGAATTACATGGTGGCCATTTTGAATTTTTCAATTTTTTTAAACATCTACAAGTTCTCAGAAGTTCAAATCTGACCTTAGATTTCAGATTTGACCTTTCATTCACCTTCAGTGACCTTGAAAAGGTTTTGGCCATGCTGGGTAAATTGCATGGTGGCCAGTTTGCTCTTCAAAGTGCGATATTTATCACTGTGTGTCTTGTTTCATGAACCAAAGGTAGATGTTATGTCATTGATTAGCCAGTATTGTTTAGAATTAGAGCTTTATGTACGATGATGCATTGGTTGTTTCTACTCTCTATGTCACCACCTGAACATAAGTTTAGTTTAGTTTAGTTTAAGTTTATTGGCCCAACAAAATATATCTTGCCAAGTACAAGCTAACATTTGTATGCATATAATGCAGCTGAAGTACATTATCAAAAACAGTAGGAAAAATATATAATGTATAAGTGTAGACCTTTCAAGTTGTTGATAATAAGTTCCATATGTAAACATGTTATGATTTCTGCCAATATCTGTTACCATGGCAACAAATAAGTGGACTTGTAACATTTTGTAACCATTAACAATAATTAACATGTCATGTTAATGAATGCTTTGCTTCTAAAAATTGTTATGGTTAAACCATTGAACTTTGGCTGCATGACATGGTCTTCATTATTAATGTTTTGATGAAATTAAGAATATTTATTATCAATTAAGACATATTAATTGCATATACTTTAAATATTTGATAGTGATTAGTACCATCTTGTACTCCTATCAATTGCAAATAATAACCTGTTTTTAATTAATGATCCTTAATTTTGGGTAAATCAGATCAATAAGTAAACTGATGTATGGAAATTTATGCTTCCGACAATGGCTTTGAATAAATAGTCTTACAAGATTGATGTTTTTTGTTCACAAAAATCTTCTTTATATGGAAGACTTAATCGATAATGGAAGAAATCTTAGTAACATATAAAAAATTTGATTGACAAATGTCGGAACTATAAAATATTCATAGCATTTATTTAGCGATGCAAGCAATATTGTAATAATTAATATTTAATAATAAAGTAAACAAAAGCCATTCTAAAAATATTATTTTTTGATGATAAATCACAAAGGGCAAGAAAAGAAAAGTACCAAGACCTGAAAGACCCTGGTGGTGTGGTGTACAGTTCAGGGGTATACTGTTCAGGATTATACTATTCAGGGTTGTACAAGTCAGGGGTATACTGTTCAGGGGTATACTGTTCAGGGGTATACTGTTCAGGGGTATACTGTTCAGGGGTGTACTGTTCACGGGTTGTACTGTTTAGGAATGTACTATTCAGGGCTATACTGTTCAGGGTTGTACTGTTCAGGCATATACTATTGAGGGTTGTTCTGTTTAGGGGTATACTATTCAGGGTTGTACCGTTCAGGGGTGTACTGTTCAAGGCTGTACTGTTCAGGAGTGTACTGTTCAGGATTGTGCTGTTCAGGGTTGTACAGTTCAGGGGTGTATTGTCAAAGGGTATGTTGCTCAGAGGTATACTGTTCAGGGATATACTGTTCAGGGGTATTCTGTTCAGGGGTGGAGTTGACACTTGACTGGGAGGGGGGATGCATGCTAACAATTAT